AATCTTATGGGACACAAACACCGCTCTCCTGGGTGCAAGTCGTTGTTTGTTGGACCAATCCACCACCCCTCCTGCCTGTCCCACTCGGACTTTTGCCACCTTAACTTTTGTTCTTGTCCTGCCGCCTTTCCCCCTGATGCTGCCAGGGACAGCTATAACAGTGACCGGCTGCGTATCATGCCGATGTTAAAGGACAGCTTTTTTTGTCGGTTGGATTTTGATGATGTGAGAACAGGTTGGAATTTCAGGAATTCCATTATGTTGTCGAAATATGTAGGTTAGTTGAAAACTATGTCAATGTGAGAGTTAAGGAATTGAATACTGATACACCTTCATTTCTTATTTTATGGTTGATATTACCAATTATCTAATGCACAGAGACTTATACTGGTACAGTTAATATTTTGAGTTCCACAACAATCCTGTTTGAATGTATTAACGTGTTTGGTGACTCGTTCTTCAAATAGACTGGTTGTCCTTTTCCTTAAAAAGACAAAATACAGCTTTAATTTGAGGGAGTACACTGACTGTGAGGAACCAAACATGTACTTAAGGAAAGACTTGTGGGTCCCCATAGAACCCATTTTCATTCAGATATTTTGAGGTGGGAGTTTAAGGGACCCCTTTGAAAATGGCCATGACAGTTTTTTCCTCACTAAAATTCAGTGTAATTTGGAGCATAGTTTAGCCCCCTTCCTGACAAGCTACATCAACATGGTTGGTACCAATGGATGCTGCAGGTTGTCTGGTTTCATCCTAAAAAAGTGTTGATACAGGCTGCACTGCCTCTGCAGCAGGTGTATCTTGATGTATGTGAGTTTAGTCTGACACCACTGTAACTGGCTTGACTCTGCGCTGTGTGTTATGTTGTGTTGGTTGGAGGAATGAAGGACGACTGCTGTTTATTATCTTATCTGCATCAGAACAGAATAACTATGGAACAGTGTGAGTATATCTCTTATGAGTGGGAGTTTCACAGTGAAAAGAAGATTCATACAAAAACAAGAATAGTGTATATTTACAGTATAAAGTTTGCACAACGGCTTGTTATCTGTTTGCCAAGTGCACTATGTCACATTATGGGACCCATGTAACAAACTTCGTGTTGGAATTTATCAAAATGCCACTAAGTTCTCACTCAGAGATGTTGAGCTAAACAATCAGCCTCAGGTATATTGCTTTTGAATTGGCTGTCTGTCTAGAGATGGCGCTCAAGAGCCACTTAACCTACACTGCAAAATCTGCCACACAGTCAGAGTTTAAGTGTGTACTTTTATGTGTAGGTCCACACTGACGACTGTGCCAGGGCCTCTGTGATTTGGGAACAACCTCACTACAACTATCAGCCAGCCCTGCTCTTATATTATCAGTGACAAGAGCTTCTCGTTCTATCAGTCTCAACAACACAGAACTCTTTGCTCATCTTCAAAATCCATTTCATATCAGAGAGGACTGCAGCGGTCCAGAAAGTTGGTCCTAACAATCTCTGAGTGCTGTGAAGAGGGCTGATGTCACCCTCTCACCAGCCATCTGTCACACTGGTGGTCCAACCTCAGCTGGAAGTGAGTTGCTGGTGGATCCAGACTGGCCCGGCCAAGGCAAAAGCCCGCCTGGTGCGAATTTAGTGCAGCGTCTCTCTTCACCCCTGCGGTGCCAGCAGCACTGGCTGCTATCGCCTGCCACCGCTGATCCTTTTGGTGTCCAAGCCTCAGTCTAGCTTCAGCGACGGCAGGTAACAGGGCAGCAGATGGCCAAAGAGACCACCACCCACACAAACACACACAAGACCTGCACATGCACGCACAATCGTTCCTACGAAGATGCAACAGTAAGCATCAACATATGGTATGCTTCTTGCACACACTATTCACTGCATGTATTTCACACACCCACAGCACTGTGAGCAGTCACTGTTCCTGCATTCACTTTAATGCGCTATAATTAGAAGTTTGGTTAACTTGGTTCGTTATTGTCAGCATGAAAACAGCAACGAGACCCACCGTTTATCCCCACATTCATTTACACCTATTGGCCAATAAGCTAGTGAGAAACAGCACCCCACTGGCTGCAGGTTATTTAAGTCCTGTAGAGGAAACAGCTACAAAACATGGCAGTAACACCACGGCAGCCATTTAATGAGCACTACTATACTTCAAGGACCGGGCTAATTTTAGCCAGGAAGTCACTTCTGAGCATGCTGAGCTGACGGGGATGAGACTGACCGAAATAAAGGCCAGAGAGTGAGGAACACTCTTTTGGAGTTACTGACAACAGTTGGCAGCCGTAAGCACTGTGCTCCTGTTGCTACTCAGCTGTTGGTGATTTTTAATACTGACGTCATCAATGTGCAGCCTTGGAATCAGTAATGAGTTCATCTTATGAGTTTGGAAATGTCCGTTAAGCTGCATCATGGCTGCAGATTAAAGAGTTTATACATCTGAATGTGTCACTTGAAAGTTAAAATAATAACTACCTCAAAACTATAACGCCAAGTGATTCAGCGCTCTGACTCATCAGTAAATGTAGCTGCCAGCACAATGTGCTCCTGCAGTTGCTTTAGGTATTTGTTCACAGACTGATTTGTCATTTAAATATCCTTATGTATAAAATGATGTGGGCACATCTTGCAAATCAAAATCATGCAGTGGAGGAGGAAGTGTTCAAATGCTTTGCTGAAGTTAAAGTAGCAACATGACACAATAGAAATATGACTTTATAAGTAAAATGTACTCACAGCATCAAAAGTAATAGAGAAGTAGAGTCAGAGTTATATTACTAAACACATTACAGATGCTTTAATGTGTGAGAAACATTCTGTGTTATATCAGGTGGAGGTGGAGCTCATTTTACCCTACATACCGTTGGCCAGTTGCACATGCCCTATTTTTAACACTGTTGTGTTTCCGTAGTCCACCTCCTCTCAGAAGTGTGTGTGTGTGTGTTACTTGATGTTCCTTCACTTGGGAAGGCCCACATGTAGATGTCACTTAAAGATTTTTTAACCAGAAAATTGCTGCTTCAATTTTGAAAATCTGAGAAGCTCCCAACATTTGATATGTGGCTGAAACAATTAGGTCATGGTTTACATTTGGAGAATTAGATTCACCCTGTCAACAGAGAGGGACTCTGGAAAATCTGGCAACCTGTCATTAGTTTGATTGAAGAATTAAAGTCAGTGGTTTAGCAGGTTAACTGTACCGTGGTGTCACATGTCGATACACTGTAACCTGTGGGATAACTCATGGACTTGAACTTGGACTTGAAATTTTCTTTTGCTGGTGGTTTGTTTCTTTACTGTATTTACACTGTTTTGCAAAGACCAATAAACAGATGTTAAAAAAGAAGAATATTCAACCAACTTTTTTGTGGAAAAACCACATCAGATACAAAATTATTCTTCAGAGTCGGTATTTTATGTGTCTTAAAAACTGGGTTGTGGTGATCGAGTACCTCAAAATTGTACTTGGGTACGTTCCACCATGCAGCGTTTGAATGTCTAAACCTAAAACTACTGACAATGTCATCATAATTATTGTCTACCAATTCTATATATTTAAAGTACACTGAGTGTGACAGTTGTCAAATTTCTTGTATGTGTACACAATTGTTTGGCCGATGAAGCTGATTCTGATTGAAGAGTGTCGGCAGCTCTGAGTCAGCAGACTGGCATTTGGACTTTTTTTTAACCCACTGCATTTATACTTCATCATTAACTATTTGGAGCATTAATTCAACTGCCACAATATCCTGTGCAATTATTCAACGGTGAAATATTTTTCACCTCTTGAATGTGTATATTTATTCATCATACAATGCACACAACTGTATATTTCATATATTTGCTTTAATTCTATTCTTGTTTTATTCTACTGATGTATATATTGTAGTTAAAGTTTTAACACACTGACAATATATAGACGATTTTTTGATATTTTTAATATCTGAAGTAGTGTTTTTAGGTTTTCAGCTCTGAAGTTTGGAACAAGCTTCAGAGCTGAACTACATTTTCACACACTGATTCACTTGACTGATTTTAAAGAGAGAGTGAAATCTTTGGAGTCTCGGCTTTCGGTCTGTAAATGTTTTAACTGATTGTATGAGTGTTTGTTCTGTGTTTGTAAATGTTTTTCTAATTATTGTCAACTGTAACTATGTGACTGTATCGCTGCTGTCTTGGCCAGGTCTTCCTTGAAAAAGAGATCCCCCATCTCAATGGGACTAACCTGGTTAAATAAAGGTTAGAAATAAAACACTGTAGCATAATTCACATTACTTTTTTATTTCAATGCACATTTTCATTTCTATTTTATTGCTTTATATTTACATTCTTCTATTTCATACTGTTATTCTTCTTCTGGGATTAATAAAGTATTTCTGATTTTGATCATTTAAAAGTTAATATGTTCTAATCATTATTATTATTTTCAAGATTATTTTATTGGGGAACACAGTCAACATGTGTATGTGGGCCCCATGTGGTTTGTAAATGAGCTGAAAAACGGGCCCTTTGTGGGATTGTCCATGGGTTCCATAATGGCGCTGTGCCAATTGCCCACATGGGTGGGTTTACCCAAGTAGGCCCAAGATAAGGTGCCCATTTTGGACCCATACCCACTTGGTACCCAGGTAGTCGTAGCGTAACCCATGTATGACCCACTTGGGTAAAACCACCCATGTGGGCAATTAGCACGGGGCATTATGGAACCCATGGCGATCCCATATAGGGCCCACATACAGATGTTGACTGGGAAAGGGTCATGGCCTGAAGTTGAATCCGTAGATTCACACCAGATAGACACCAGGTCTACCTGCTGAGCTCCTGGGTGACCCCTGATCATTATTTAATCCCAATAACTTTAAAAGAATCATCATGTGTAATCCTCTGTGTTTTCATATTGTTTTTCCAGTGACTGTTCTTAGAAAGTTGTGACATTTGATTTGTTTAACACAGATTACCTGAGCTGAAAATCAGCTGTAACACAATTTCAAACAACAACACATTAGAAGAAGCAATGTATATCTTTATTATGTGCTATGTACATATTTTACAGTATGATACAGCAACAATACACGGTAATGCTACACAGTCGAGATTGCACGGTTTTAGAGTTAGGCCACAGCGGTCGGGTACCGTGGTTATGAGACAGAACACTGAGTGTACAGTAAGTACAGCATACATCTTTGGCTTCATAGGGATAACAGGACACGGAGCGAGAACACAGGGAATGCAAACTTCAGTCAGGAGTGAGCGCTGATAGCAATATAACACAGAGACCGGTGGAGGGTTTGTCAATGGATTAGGGATGGATTTTCACTCCCAGAGAGAAAGAAGTATCATATGACATATTTTCTTCATGTACGGGTGATGGCTGGTATTATGTTTCTGTTCAGGGTGCTGCAGAACTGTCCTTTCGTGTTGGTTAAGGAGATTGTATCCTGAAACCCCTGCTGGGCTAAGACTTGGCCAGCCCTAAATCCTGTCAAGATGTTTCTCCACACGTACACGGTGTGTGCCTCTGCATATGGACATAATCTGTGCACACACTGTACTATACGAGGAGATAACAGCGGCGAGAGCGAACTCTAGTTCATCCTCTAATTGGCATCGTTTCTCTCCATCTATGAATCTGTGGTGAAATTAAACTAGTCCTCCATTTTGTTGTTTATAGAGACTCCAGCCGCCTCTTTCTCTCTTCTGATAATACTGAATCTTCTATTCTAACGTACGGCAGCAGTTACAGCTACAAAGCATCGAGGTGAGGGACAGAATACAGAGAGAAACCAAGAAGACAGAGATTGGATGAAAGATAGATGGAGAAAGAGGGAGAGAGAAGGGAAGTGACAAGGTGAGATAGAGCGGGAGAGAGAGGAGCCGACAGAGAGATGGATGCAGCGGGGTCGCTGGGGTGAGGAGATGGTGTAATGATTAGATCACAGATACCCTTGAGCCTTCCTCCCGTCCCTCCTGCACACAAAAAAAATCTGGGAAGCGCACTCGGAGTGGAGGAAGGCCTGCAGTTGTAAATGGCCCTGCTGTCAGAGTTCATCTGGGCGGAGGAGGAGTGCGGGAGTGGATTACCGGAGTCTGCGATTAGAGAAGCGTACTCTGCCTCGCCAGTTTTCCCAAGACGGGAGAGGCGCTTGTGCTGGATCGCATTTGTGCCGCTGCCTCACCTCAGATTTCCTAAAGATGTTATAAATGTAATGTTTGGCTGCTCAGAGACTGCAGACATTTTAGGGAGGCAGGAGGAGAGGAGAAATGTGCTCCTACTGGACATGAAGCTCCTGGAATATCAGGAAATTTTAAAGTCAAGAAATCTGGTAGAAGTCATGGACTGTGAAGGAACCTAACAACAGTCATTATACAGATTTGCATGTTTTAGCCTTCCTGCATTTTCAGTCATGAGTGACTCCTTTCAAGCGTGTGTCCTCTCCTCCTCGCTCACTGCAACAAGTCTGAGGCTCATGCTCAATCCTTTCATATTGTTCACCTCCTAATCAGATGATGTCATCTCCAAATTTAAGCAAGCTGAAGGTGAGTGCTCAGAGAGGAAGAGATGTGTTTAGGATGCTTCCATCTAGTGGTCACTTAACGACACTGTTCATTTTTTTAAATATAAAAACTAGGGAGACATCACAGTTTAAAAAAGCAATAATACAACCCGTTCTCTTGACACATTTCTTCAGTCTGATATTAAACAATATGACTGAGAACAAAAACAGTACTTTGTCATTCACATTACAATGGCGTGGAGTGACAGGGCTGGCAGGGGGCAATTAAGGGCTTCCAAACATAATGGCTCCATTAAGCGCATACAAAAGCATATCTTTACAATAAATTCTTACTTAGATTCACAAAATATATTTCTGACACAATACCCGGTGGCATGTACACAATGAGGATGATAGCTGTGATTGGAAGCCATGCCCTGAGGGCTGTCACCAGAGGCAGGGTCCACCGGTTCGCCACATGACGGCTTCCTTGATGTCATCGTGTGGTTCCACTTCTCTAATAGCTCTGAAAGTTCAGACTTTATTTAACGTCTGATGCATGTTTTCACTTAAGTTGTCAGCTGCCCTGATGTGTGTTTTAGTGACAGATTTTCTGTAATGTACATTGCATTATTAGTTTCCCTTAACAGGAAAGGATGTATGATTTTTTTAAATGTAATGTGTAGGCGTGTGTGAAAGTATTTGAGCAGCGAGGGGAAATATAATAAGTATAGCCAAAAACAGCTTTAAAGAAAGAAGAAATTAAAGGAGCAGTTTGAAGAGTTTGACTTCCTTCTGCCTCAAATGTGAAGAGAAATCACCAACCATGACTTAAATTAAAAAAATCAATATGTACATATTTCAAACACGGATTCAACATCATGGCTGTGGATAAAATCATCACCGCACAAAGCCAGCTGCTGGAGATTTTCAGGTCTCTCTGTCTGTGACTTCACACTTGCGCGTGTTAACACTACAAGTGTGTTGTGCAGCATGTTTTGCCATAAAGGTATTTATTCCCTCAAATGTGGGAAAATCCTGTTTCACTGTGGATTAAGGAGACAGCGTGCATAATGTATACGGGGGGAGGGTGGAGAGGGAGGACAGTTAGCGGGGAGATATAAGCAGTGAGGAGAAAAGGTTTCTGAGAGCTGATACCAGTTCTTTTGGATCGAAGTGCTAATACAGAAATACCTTTTTTAAAAATTTGATGTTTTTCTCGCCAAAATAAATCCCCTAAATTGCAAGTGTTCCTGCAGAAATGATATTTTTCAGTGGGGGAAAAAATAGACCCAGTTTCCGCAAACACCAAGGAAGCATTTGAAATGTTGCAAAGGTACAAATCCAGGTAGATCACCTCACATAGACGGGGTTGCGGAATTTTGCAAGAATGCAATCAATCAAACTGCATCATATCCATCATCTGATGATGAAACAGGACATGCCTGACAATGCAGAATTTTTTTTTAGAGGAAAAAAAGAGACAAAAAGAAGAACAAAGTTGGGCTGCGTTCATGTTTCATCATCTCTTTTTTATGTTAAGGGGATGGGTGGCTCCTAGGTAGAGTGGCTCGCTCCCCGACAAGCCGCTAATGCTTCCAATAAGATAAACCCTCCGCGAATGGGCTCCTGTCGACAGAGCTGCCACCGATAAGAGCAGAGGATCGCTAACGGCCAAGACAACTAAAAACATGAGAGGCTGGGCCGGAGATAAAGAATGTAGGAGTTGGGAGGAAAATAGGAACAACAGCGATCAATTGCTGGCACCGCGCAGCGATGCTATCCGACGCCATCCCTCTCTTACATCTCCTGTAAGAGCGTGTGTGTGAGGCGATCATAATCTGAAAGGGAGGAGAGGTGGGTGGTGTGTGTGTGTGGAGTGTGTTTGTGAATCTGGGTCATCAAGTCATCAATAACCACCTGCATTAAGGGAAGAAACACATGGGCAAGGTCAAAACTAACTGAAATCCCTTCAGAGTGAAAGAAGGGGATGAGAGAGGAAAAAGAAGAGAATAAGTGTTGGTCTTTCCCGGCTCAAATGGCTCTATTCCCACGGGGTGGCAGAAAGGATGGATGCTTGGATGGATGAGCGCATGAATGGAGGAGTAGCATTTGAGTATCTACTTTTGACAGTCTGGCGACGGCCGACTTGGCAAGCAGGAACAGGTGGGAGCTGGGGGGCTGGCTGGGGCAGAGAGGAAGGGAGCGCAGGGTGAATTATGGATGGACGGATGCTGTTAGGGAGGGAGGAGGGGGCGTCTGGCGAGGGCTTATGCCCCGCTGACAGGCAAGCTGCTTGTTGGTGGAGTCACTTAACCACACAGAGTCAACCAGAAATTATGGGGCATCTTTGCATCTGCAACGTACTGTAGCCCTTCTCTCTCCCAAAGGCCTCTGGGATGGTCGTAGGCGACAGGGCTCCGTGCAGGAGAGTGAAGCCGCCTGCTTTGCTCTGGAAAGTAACGCTGGGGCAAGCAGCAGTGCAGAAGCTAACTCTTTGTTACTGTTGTGTTCACAGTTTGTTCAGTCCGCTGCTGCCGCTCTTCCTTTGTCTTACTCTTCTTCCCATGTTGGACCTTTCACTCCTCACCCTCCTCTACGTATGTGGATGGGAACCAGCCGACCTGAGGGAGGAAGAAATGAGAATAAGTAATCACACAGCAGTAATTCATGGTGTCCACTTTCCCTCCCTTTTCTTTTTCTACATAAGAAGGGGATTTCCTACATTTACCAGAATGCCTTTCAGGAACCAGCAGTAAAGAGCTGTGTACTTATAAATGAAATGGTCATCAGCAATAGCTTCTTTTTTGACATTAAATTTGAGCATAAAAGGTTCATTTTCAGGAATGCATAACAAAATGTTTATTAACAATAATTAGTTATTTAATTTCTAACCTATTTGCATCTCACATATCCCAAAGCATGATACCTGAGCTGGAATGTTGGCATTACATGGCTAAAATCTTTAATAAAACACCTTAGAGGAGCTTTATAGGAGACATTCAGAGCATATCTATGATTCAGAGTCTGAGCCGGGATTGTCTGCATTTGGCTCTCAACATGGAGGTGACCGAACCGGTGGCTAGCAGCTTGCAGTGCTAACAATGCAAACAATGCTGACAGAGCTAATGGTGTTAACCTAAGGGGGAACCAGAGTTTGGGCACTTTGCTTCCATGACGATGCTGTTCTGCCGCCTTAAGTGCAACACACACTGCCGCTGGTGCCGTCAAGTGCCGCCCCCCAACACACATTGGCAGCGGCGTGCAGCGGCACAGTCGAAGTGTATTTCCCACCCCAGCCCGCTAGGTGGCTGTACCTACACTAGTTGCCAACGGTTGCCAACTGCTAGTAACGGAAGAAGAAGAGGAAAAACTTTGAGGCAACAACAACTTGGATTTCACGGGTGAGTTTCTTATCAAAATCGTTGATACTACGGAGGCCGAGACATACATAAAAGGCTTTTCTTGCAGCTCTGGCCGCACTGGAAATAGAGCAGTGGGCTGAAGCAGAGCGGTGCGGCGTGTCGGCCGGCACCGGTGAGGATTTGTTTGTTCATAGAATATATTCAAGGCGGGGCGTTTTTATGCGCGGCGTATGGCGGCGGTGTGTGTTGCACTTTAGGTGGGGACACATTTACGAATTGTAGGATAGCAAGCGAATGGCCCGCCTAACTCTGACTCACTCTGCCTTACTCTGCGTCTGATTAGCTTTGTTGAGTCCAAAACAAACCTGCAGCGAACATGCACCTCGAAAAATATACCCCTGTTATTTTCAATGTACAACCCCGTACCAGCAGCAGCTAGGTGCACCTCAGCGCTACTGGACGTGCTGCCCAGTGGCACTTTACGCCACTGTCCTATTTCCAGCCTTGTCACTTCCCCCCACTTGCTCTCTGCTTGTACATACCAGCTCCTGTAGCAGCTCGACTCCTCTAGCTAAACACCCCACAATCCCCTCATTATAAAGACAATGGCCAAAGAGATGTTGCCTGTCGAGTCATAGCTCTGGAGATCGGCTCTTCAGGTGACAAAATCAAGTTTAATTCATGGCTCTCCACGCATGATTTTAAGCTGACGCAAAGGTGGAAGAGGTACAGATCTTTCAGGAAAAGTAGTATTAACTTTGTGTGGTCGTCTGTTAACGAGCTGCAGTGTGACTTGTCCGATGTGTCCGAGTGGCGGCACACATGTGACAACACACACAGAAGTAGCATGACTTCATTCTCTGCTCAGGACTCTTCTACTCCACTACATTTTTACACAGCAAATAGCTGTTTGCTGCTATATTAATGCTCTGAATGTCACATACAGCTCCTCTAAGTCTGATTTAAATATGACACAGAAAGTCATTTAATAATATAAATCATTCCGGTTTTTAATCTTGTTTTTAATGTGGTTTCATTCTCCTGTCTGTGTGACTGATGTGCCTCCTTTTTGCTTTAAATTTTGTGTTTCACTTGATCTATAATGATCTATTGAACATCTGTCCGTTCAGGAACAGGGATCCCTACTGAGTGGCTCTTCCTGAGGTTTCTGTCCTTTAAAGGTTTCTTGTCAGGAGTGCTGTAAGGGTCTAAGGACAGAGGTTGACTGGACCTGACTAATGACAAATATCATGTATGCTGCCCATCATTCTTTTATGACAGGAAGGTATCTTTAAAATCCAACACAACGTATCTGGACAGCTGCCAATATATTTTGTTTCGACCACTTTTCATTATACCTATACAATAAAGCCTGACATCACATTGAACTCCTACGAAAGGTTAGAGTGAAACAATCCTAAGTGTTTTCCAGCCGACAGATTCGTGCAGCTGCTTTCCAGCCAGCAGTAACGATTGTTTACACTGGCTGAAGGCTCTACAGAGAGTCTAACAGCTCTCGACAGACTCTACATACGGTGTTTAGTTTTCACCAGAGCAGCATCAACATACACATCAGGCTTAGTAAAAGAGAAAGGCTTCCTCATTTACCACAGCTGTTCACCAACCGCACTGTGCAGCACACACACACACAGGCTGAATTCGTCACTCAGTCTCCGCCAAGCTAAAATGCAGTGCGTGTGAGTGGGAGTCGGTGTATATCTCCCTGCATTTAGAAGCAGCCATTTCTCAACGCTGCATGGCTGATTATAAAGCGCTCTTGGCATTGGATAGGAGGATTTATGCATTTAAGACATACAAGAGCAGCAAATGAACTCCTCTACACGATGATATTGGGAGCATGAAATGCTGGATAGGTGTACATGACAGGCTAAAGATAAAACAGACTAAATCTGAGAAGTCCCTTCCAGGTACCTGTAGATGAGACTATCTGCCAAATTGTACTTCTTCAAAGAGAGTGTTTTTAGAGCTACCTAAAATAGGGTTTATAACGATTTAACAGCCAAACTGAAGAAACAAAAGTTTGAGTGAACACAGCAAAAGTTTGAGTGAACACAGCTAATGCACGTCGTAAAACTTTTCTGCTTCGACTAATTTTCAGTTACAAAGCTACATATGTCAAATGAAAACTAATGAACAAGCACAAAAATGTGGGACTTCTTCACCTGACAGCCAATATCAGCCCTCAGAAAAGATTTCCTCATTTGATTTCAGTGACTAGTGGGTTGTGTTTTCCCGGCGTCTTAAGGCTGCCACTTACCCTGCCATTGACCTCGCCCCTCCACCAGCCGTTGGCTCCCGATTTCGTGTAGATCTTAACCACGTCACCCTCCTGCAGCGAGAGCTCCCGGGTGTCACGGGAGCTGAAGTCGTACCGTGCTATCGCCACACCGATCACTTTCGGAGTAAACACTAGAAAGAGAGAGGAAGAAAGGCGGGTATTAAAGATTTGAAATTTAGTTCGTTCACTTTTCTAGAAGATGCATTTGAAAGAAATTCAAAAACAGTTTCAGTGTCAACACACACATGTAAATGCACATGCACACACTGATGGAGCAAGGTGATGTGTCAATCATCCAGAAAAACCTCATCATCTTTCTTCTCTCCTTAGTAGCAGTACTATTGGAGAGCCTCTCTGATACACTTTAAAACTGGTCTTCTTCCATTAGCATATTGTAAATTCTCAAATACTATTGAGTAGATTTACCCATCACTAAATGTAGTGTGCATTACCTCTGGCACATTTAGTATACAGTCAGTTCCTGTGTAGAGATTAGCTAGTTGTTGCTAAATGCTAATACCATAGACCACAGGGTCCATATTTCTTCTTAGTCATTAGTTCAAGGCCCACAGAGTTTAATATGTTCAGCGTCATACATGCTGTACGTTAGTCACTCACTCTACGGCAAGAAACAGCACTTCAAAATAAAAGCTCTGTGATGAAAATTCAGTCCGTCAAAATAAAGTGTGTGGTTTTTTTTTTTACAAACTTGACATGTTCGTGAGTCACTTACGGTCCGTTCAGAATGGACCTGTGACCAACTTTTGGACTGCAACCCACCAGTTGGGAACCACTGCCACAGACTGTATATAAATATAGACAACATGACAGCTCCTTAAAAGTGAAGCCAGAATATCTCGATGGCTCCCTGGTGGCTGGCTGCAGTATGTTAGCAGCTGGGATGTGAAACGAGCTAAAATACCACAGTACATGTCAAATGAACTTCTCCCAAAAATGGTTTCTGAGGTAGTTCTTGTCATGCTGTCGTGAGATCAGATGTTTGTTTTTGTGATACTTTTGTTTTTTAATTTGTTATTTGATGCCATTAAAAGGAGTGGTGACATCATGATTGACAGGTGTTACTGACTCCCAGTAAACTGTCCGGGCAGGAACGCGATACCACAGCTCCATCCCTCTGATTACTGCTGTGCAGACTGTGGCTCCAAATAACATCACTGGCTTCACTTTTGCACAGTAGGAAGTGGAGACCGTCGTCAATCTTTATATATGGTGGTGTAAATGCTAAGTAGCCAGTTGACCTGACAAAGCTAACGTTAGCTTTCCAAGATATGAAATATAAGAGTAAAGAGAAAAACAGATGATATGGAATATGGCTGACAATCCTACCTGACATGAGATAAAATGCTGTTTAATAATGACATAAACTGGAAGTATTTTAAATTGCAAACATCTCAGCTCACTAGAAGTGGTAAGTGCTTGTAGTTTTTCATTAAATATGTAAGTTTTTTCCGTGTTCACAAAGTAATTGCGGTTTAAATTAGTTAAAATCACGAAGGCTGTAATTTCTAATATTAACTGCTGTAGCAGATGCATATTTGTTTTACAATATGGGAACTAAATATAAGTCTTACTTTTTTTAGAATGACAAATGAAAGAAATGATGTTAATAAAGTTTTTACTCCTCAGTGTTGATGATAAAAAAAGACTTTATCCACAATTTTGAAATGGATTTACAAACAGATGTTGCAACTAAATCTATCTGGTAGCAAATAAATGGTGATGAGAAACAACTAAATGTGATGTTGAGTTAAAGATAATGTTCTTGTTCGCTCATAATTTTGCAGCTGACCTGATGAACAATATGAATCAGCTAATGCGTGTGTGTGTGCCTGTCTGTGTGTGTGCCTCATCGTACAGAGAAGTGGGGTCCTTCAAGTCCTTATAGTTATGTAGTGCACCACTTTAGCTGAGTAAGTCCAGCTCAAGGGCTCTGACAGCCGTGTGTGTGTGCGACTAGACATCCTGTCGAGGAGACAGCAGTATGAGAGACGGCTGTGGAGAACGTTAGCTAGTTACCTCTGCTCCATCCCACCCTGCTGCCTTTCTACCTTCTCCAGACACTGACTGGTGGGTCGGACTGGGCTAAGCTGACAGGTGGAAATGGAATGTCAGACCTCTACAACCTGGCCGTGGGGATAGAATATCTAATATAGAGGAGCTCTGTGTATTTGGACAACTCCACCTTTACTTTGACAGACAGACACACACAAGAAAAAACACACCAAACTCAGCCACATATGCTTCTGAAAACACCTCAAACACAACTCCTTTCTCAACACTTTCATGCACACACACACACACACAAACATATATAACATACGTGCATTACTAAAACCTATTCTCCACAGGATGACATGTATGTGCACACAACTATGGACGAGGTGAAATGGTGCGATGGGGAGTTGGACGGCAGATGTAAAGGCAGAGATTCAGACGATGATGTGAATGCACTGAGCTACAGCCAGCATGCTAAGCAGCCTTGAACATGAAAGGAGAGAGAGAGAAACAGTGTTAGAGAAACAGACAGAGAGAAGCGATACCTGTACCTGACCAGAAGGGAGCAGAGGAAGGAGGTACAAAGCTGTAGCCGGCAGGAGTTACAAAAGAGAGGCCGCAGAGCAATGGGGCTATGGCAGGGCAGGCCAGGCAGGGAGCGGAGAGATGCAAGAGGGGACAGGGCAGGGATTGGGGGGGATGGTAGAAGGAAAGAGAAGCAAAGGAGAAAAATAAAACATGTTTTTTAAGATCCCAACTCTGAGGTGTAAAGAACACAGTTGCAGTTTGATAAAAAATAAATGACGATGGGTGGTACGTCACCTACACAGCCACGGGTAGCAGTTCTGTCACTGATGGTTAATTTGTACCCCTTTGGGCACCATGTGGACCAAACAGTGTAATTAGAAATCTAAAACTCTAACTCAAATTTGAATGATCAAACTCTTGGTCTGGTCTGACATGTCAACAATTACTTAGAATTACCGCCTTGTGGTTGTATGCCTCTGTTAACTTGTCAAGATGCAGTTACAGTTTCCATCCATGCCTGGAAAAACATGGCCGCCTCACAGACATGTTCCCCTGGCAGCAAAGAAGTTCTATACAATCAGCTCAGTTTCAAGTTGGGCAGCCAAGATTAGTGTCACCAGTGTCTCCCCTCTGTTCGTGAGTTATATAAGGGCCATAAAAAATATCTTGTTTGACATTTGTGTGAAATTTTGTCATAATCAGCGTATGAATTCCTGAGTAAAGGCCAAAAACATGATTTGTGAGGTCACAGTGACCTTGACCTTTGACCTTTGACCCACAAATTCCAATCAGTTAATTAGTGAGTCCAAATGAACATTCATGCCAACTTAGGAAATGTTCCCTGAAGTTGTTCTTGAGATATTGCGTTCAGGATATGGGATGTACACAATGTCACAGTGGCCTTGACCTTTGACCACCTAATTCTAATCTGTTCATCTTTAAGTCAAAGTAGATGTTTGTGCCAAATTTGAAGAATTCCCTCAAGTTGCTCTTGAGATATCATGTTCACGTGAATGAAACAGATGTAAGGCAATAGTGACGTGGACCTTTGACCAACACATTCTAACTATTTCATCCTTAAGTTCAGGTGGATGTTTGTGCCAAATTAGAAGAATTCCCACAAGTTGTTCTTGAGATATCACTTTCAAAAGAATGGGACAGATGAAAACATAATGCCTCCAGCTGCAGCTATCATCAGCACAGACACATAATGTCATGATCCTGGGTTTTTGTTTATATTCTGTTATCTTGTGGACTTTGTTTTGGAGTTTTCTGTTTGCGTTCCTTGTTTCATGTAATTCATTCATGTTTAATCTGCTTCCTGTTTTATTTTGTAGATTTTCTCATGTGTCATGTCTGGCTTCACTTCCTGTCTTTGTGTGTTTTCCCGCCTGTTTTCTGTCACACCTGTCTCGTTAAGTCTTCCCTGTTCCCTGAGTCTTCCCTTCACACCTGTTCTGTATTAATCTCGTTTGCTCCACCCTTGTTGTTAGCCAATCCCCATTTCCCTCCTTTTGCCCGTGTCCTCCTACTCCAGCTGTGTCTCATTCTTGTGATTATTTTCTGTGTATATATACCTGTGTGTTTCCCTCTGTTCAGTTTGTCCGGTGTCCATGGTGCATTTTATTGTGCTTCCCTGCTTCTTTTCATTTAGTGTTGGTTCTCCTTTCTTTTGGACTTTGTTTTGTTGCCAGCGTGTTTTGGGGATTTCTTATCAGCATTACAGCCCGCCTTCTGTTTAACCTTCAACCTGCCTCCTGCTCTGCATTTGGGTCCCTCTTGAGCTGATTTGACACACAAAAATGAATTTCCAATACTGAAAGGCTCTTGTTTCTGAAACTTAAACACTAAAGCTGCAAAGCCAACCTAATATGAATTTACGTAATACACTTGCAGGCATAAAGTGGTGCTTTAATTAAAAACATTTTGAGCCTGTTTGATATTTCACAATTGTTAAATTTTTATAAAACATTTATAAATTATAAAACATTTATTTTGTTCTGGTGTGGGAGAATTGAAAGATTGTCCTGACTGAATTAAAGGTCAAACTCGTAGCTTTAAAACAAATGCTGAGATCCTGGTGAAATATGAAGTGACGACACATCTTGTTTCCAATTTGTCAAAAGGATGTCTGCATCATTAATGGGAGACGACAGCTTCACTTGTGCATTTAATTGGGAGGAACATGCAGTGTACTCACAGTTACAGCATAGGGAATAGACCTCTATTTGCATATTTATAAAGACAATCATCCAGCTGTAATACAGCCACAACTACAGATACACAGCTCCTTCACAAATGTCTTCTGACAGACACGTTGAACCTGATAACCTATCAGACAACACCGTTGCTTTATGAACCTCACATTGTCCACAGTGCAGATTCTCTACTTCCAAAAGACTAACTCTGCCTCTTCCTTACAAACAACTTTAGAAATAACCCACCGGAGGCCCACTGATTTTGCATTTCTATCTCTCTTCCAGTATTTCCACCGGCAGAAAAATAAGCTACAGGCATTGATCTGATTCCAACAATGTCTCAGAGTTGGCAAAGTTAGCGCCTTCCTCTGGGGAATAGAACCTCTAACCCTGAAAGTATTAGTACCTTAGTCTTTATGGATAAATGTGAGTCCACTGGGTTGTTTTGAAACGTCAACATAGCGAGTATATGGCGCAAGTACAATCAGGAGAAAATGCTGATGCTTGCTTTGACCAGTAAAAACAGACTATACAGTATAAAGTCAATAAAAGCAGTTTGCTAAACAGATGCCAGTGAATGATTTTATCCCAAAAAGTTTAGCTAGGGTGAGCAAAGCATCCTGTCCCTGATGTAGGAATCAACAGTACTGTAATGACAGAACACTCTAGATCAAAATGCATTATAGAGACAGATGCATTAAGTCAGAAGGTGATAGGCAGTTGGCTTATAAGTATCATGGATGGTTTACTGAATGAGCCCACAGAGCACAGGCCTGGAACCCATGGGCCAGAGCCTCTGTATAGTGACTGTGAACATTTGTTTTTGATAAATTAATCAAACAGCTACAAACCCATGAAAAACAACCACAAAGAAAACAAAAAAAAGAGATGCTAAATGGTCCCACAAAGAGATGCAAAACAACCCATGAGCAAAGCAAGCAACTACAAAGACATGCAAAATGAATACAAGGAAATGCAAACTGGCTACAAAGAGACACAAAATGACTACAATGACATGCAAAACTATTAGGAAGAGATGCAAAACGAGACCAAAACAACTGCAAAGAAAGACAAAATGAGTACGAGGACATGCACACAACTACAAAGAGATGCAAAACTACTACAAAGACTTGCAAAACTAGTATATGGAGAGAGCAAAACAACTGCAAAGAAAGACAAAATGATTACACAGACATGCAAAACTACTACAAAGAGACACAAAATGATGACAAGGAAATGCAAAACTACCACAAAGAGATGCCAAACTTCTACAAATAGACGCAAAACAACTACAAAGAGACACAAAATGTCTACAAGGACATGCACAACAACTACGAAAAGACGCAAAACTACTATAAAGAGAAACAACTACTTGCAAAACCACTATGGAGAGAGCAAATTAACTGCAAAGAAAGACAAATGAGTACAAGAACATCCAAGACTGCTACAAAGAAATGCAAAACTACTGCAGAGAGACGCAAAACTACTACAAAGAGACACAAAATATCTACAAGGATATGCACAACAACTATGGAAAGATGCAAAACTACTACAAAGAGACTCAAAACTACTACAAAGAGACACAAAATGTCTACAAGGACATGCAAAACTACTACAAAGAGATGCAAAACTTCTACAAAGAGACACAAAACTACTACAAAGAGATGCAAAACTTCTACAAAGAGACACAAAACTTCTACAAAGAGATGCAAAACTTCTACAAAGAGACACAAAACTTCTACAAAGAGAGCAAAACAAGTGCAAAGAAAGACAAAACGAGTACAAGGTTGTGCAAGACTACTACAAAGAGACACAAAACTACTACAAAGAGAGGCAAAACAACAACAAAGAGACACAAAACGACTTCAAGGACATGTAAAAATACTACAAAGAGACTCAAACTACTGCTCAGAGAATCAAAAGGTCTGCAGTGACACAAAATCAGTATGAAGAAACCAAACAAAGAGATACAGGGGTGTGAAGCCTCTCACATGTTAGTGTCCAGGGGCCTATTAATAATCTGCCCATCTCATTATCTGTCCATGGCTGTAGGCGATTTGGAATTACAAATACCAGCTATCATTTTATAATATGTAGCTTGAGAATAATTAAAGTTGTTTATTTGGCATTCATCTAATACACTGAATAAACCCTTTAATTATTAAAAATGTACAATTCAGTATTGCCAGGTCTGCCAGAGCCAGGACTTTAAATCTGAGTCGTAACACATTTTTACTCATTTTACAAATGTGCCTTTCTTCTTTCAGCCCATTCAAAGGCTTCTAAACCTGCTGCTTCATACTTGTGCCACTGGGAATAGAAAATCTAATCCCCACAATGGCAGATAAATGCCCAAACTTTATGAAAAATGTGCCGCTCCCAACAATACTGCTGGCAAGTTAACTGGCCTGGGTTATTGATATGCTGGAAGGAGAGCGGAGCTCCAGTGGTTTTTAAAATGAATACTAATCAGCACACTGAGAGACAGCTCAGCAACCCCTAATGGTGTCTAGGTACGAGCAATATGAAGAAGGATCGCCCTCCACTTCAAACAGCCACCAAAACACCAGCTGCATTTTACATGCTTCATTTTTGCAGAATCTGATTTGTGGAACACACTGGAATACACAATATGGGCTGGTTGACTAATAGAGAGGGGACACACACACACACACACACACACAAGTTGTATCATCTCACAAGAGTGTGAAGATGAGCTAAAATCCAATCAGCAGCCCAGAGTCCCCCACACGCTGTCAGCTGAGATTGTTCCATGGACACATATTAATTTATATTTTGGGTTAACGCTGGTATCATTGCTGTCTTAGTTAGCGTATTGGTAAGAAACACAATCAATCAATCAGTTTTGCCTTCTGCAAAGCTGTCCAAAAAACATGAAACAAAGCATAAACATTAATTAGCGGTCCTCCAGCAGTGCTCGAGGAGGACGGAAATCAAAACAAAAGAGTCATTTAGCAGTGAAAGAGAGTAAATGAAGTCTGCACACCAGGAGGAGGCTGCCTACAAGATAGAAGACCACACCAGAGCAAAACTAATTTGGATTGAAGCTGTCTCGACTTGTGTTCTGAAGTGGAGTTTGAACAACAGGCCTCCTCTAGAACAACAAAACAGCTCCGTACAATCTGTTCACATTTCTCCCGCTTGGAACGTGATCGTCAGCAAGTCGGGACTTTTCTCTTTTTTTTTCCTTTTTCCCATCGCACGCAGTGGCATACAGGGTTCAAATGAAATCTCATTTTGCCACTGATTGCGATAAGTCATACATTTTCCATTAACCAACTGATGGGCAATGTTGCTCTGCCTGGCTCACACACTGTTTAATACCTTTTCTTCTGACGCTGCTTGACACATTCAGCGTGTGTGGGGTGATCATGGATGTTTTACAGGGCGAAAGGCACTTTCTACTTCAGTGTTTAAACCTCTCCTGATGGTTTTGAAACTTATCCCCACCTGATATCATCAGCCAAGACAATAAAACAAAGCACTGGAGTGATTTTACACTGGATTTCCTCTCCCGAAATAAACCGAAAACCCTTTTCATCACTTAACTACACTAGACAAACTATAGCTTTTGTTACAGTCTACGTTCCCTCCTGAGTTTGAGTTTGACGACGCTCTGCTGTCTCATCTGTTGCTTCACTTCAAAACCCAACATCATCTCATTAAAAAAAAACCTGCTCAAAGTTAGACACCCTACATCTGTTACATTCCAAGTCAGAAAGCAAAACACGCGTCACTGGATGTTGTGTTCTCTCTCTTATTCAGCCCTGATAAATAACATCTCCATAACCTGAATGCTGAGAGGAATCGGGTTAGTAAGGGTAATGACTGACAAAGCGACAGCTGCATGCATAAATAATCATCAATGTGCTGCATTCCTGTACAGCTCTGCACCTCAGAAAGTGTTGGTGACAACAGCTGCTTTGTCTCTGGGTGTTGCCAGGTCTGTTAATAACAAAACAAGTGGCTCAGTCTTACACCAGTAAGACACCAGTCACACAGCTTAAATCTTCACCCTGACGACAGCGACGGCACACCATCACATCCACAAGAACACAGTTTGCCGACAACTACTGAAGGTGCCGGCGCTTACAGTTTTTTGGCTTTTTGAAGTGTAAAATGATGTTTGCTGCAGTCGATGCATAAAATATAACAATAATCTGCTGATGAGCTTCTGTTTCCATATCACAAATTACACTTACAAATAAATTGACTGATGATCGATGGTTCAGTCAGGGCTGTGACACATCTAAAGTTTTTTTTGGTGGAATATTTGGAACATTATTCAGGTTAACAATAAATTATAAACCAAATTACACCAGTTATTTGAAGATATGCAGCTTTCGTGGTAAAAATAGCTTAAAACGAACCATATATGGTGGCATCACTGTGGCTGTGGTGTTTAAACCATGCTAAGGGGCCCAAAGTGTGCCAAGAAAATGTCTCCCACACCATTACACCACCATCAGCAGCCTGAACCGTTGATACAAGGCAGGATGGATCCATGACGCCAAATTCTGACCCTACCATCTGAATGTGGCAGCAGAAATCCAGACTCATCAGACCAGGCAACGTTTCTCCAATCTTCTATTGTCCAGTTTTGGTGAGTCTGTGTGAACTGTATCCTCAGTTTCCTGTTGTTAGCTGACAGGAGTGGCACCTGGTGTGGTCTTCTGCTGCTGTTGCCCATCTGCTTCAAGGTTGGACGTGTTGTTGGTTCAGAGATGGTCTTCTGCAGACCTTGGTTGTAACCAGTGGTTATTTGATTTTCTGTTGCCTTTCTATCATCTTGAACCAGTCTGGCCATTCTCCTCTGACCTCTGGCATCAACAAGACATTTTGGCTCACTGGATATTTTCTCTTTTTGGGACCATCCTCTGTAAACCCTAGAAATGGTTTTAAGTGTAAATCCCAGTAAATACTCAGACCAGCGCATCTGGCACCAACAACCATGCCACGTTCAAAGTCACTTAAATCACCTTTCTTCATCATTCTGATTCTCAGTTTGAACTTCAGCAGGTCATCTTGACCATGTCTACATGTCTAAATGCATTGAGTTGCTGCCACGTGATTGGCTGATTAGCTGTTGAGCAGTTGAACAATGTACCTAATAAAGCGGTCATAAACATGAAATTAAAGATAAGAAAAAAATAAAAATTTTAGATTTAATTTTTAATTTAATTTTTTTAATTTTATATACTTTATTAATCCCTGAGGGGAAATTAAATTTTTAAAAAGTTACTAATAATGGATGATCTTATTGTTTGACTTTCCTGTAACACCCTAAATTGATAAGACTTTAACTCAGATTATAAATGGTCTCGACTTACATTTCACCCCTGAAACTCAAATTAATTTCAGTCAGCAAACATCCAGAGAGTGTTATCATGTCTAAAAACATGCTTAGTGGATTTTCCAACCACCATTTAACAGTTTGGTCACAAACAATTAACACCAGAACAGACCAGAGTGTTTTTACCAACAAACGGCCACCTAGCTCTTTAAAAGCTGTGAAGATGCTGCTGAGCAAATTAAAGAAGTGTGTGAGCGAGCTGGGAGAGATGATAGATAGCAAACAGACAGGCGGCTGCAGCAGTGGTGGGAGGAATCAGCAGAGCCAGTGACAGCAGCATGTTGCAGGTTGAAACAAAAACTAGTGACAATTAAAGGAGCATGAATGATCAGCAGAGTGACGCTGACAGATCACACTGACTGACTTACTGACTTAATGTAAATCTGTGTGATGTCTCTCAGCTTCTTAAATTTGATGATTTGACAGTAAACTAATTATCTTTGAATTTTGGGCTGTTTGTTGCACACATGAATCAATCAGAAGATGTCACATTGGGTTATGGAACACTGTGAGGGGCATTTTTCAGTTTAAAGATACCAGAAACATAAAGGTACACTCTGAGCGTAAACATTACATTGTTGGTTTACAAAAAATACTTCAATGTATATGAGGTACAAACAACAGGGGGCCCACAGCGCTACTAGTGGTCAAATACACCACAGGGTGCCTTTAACTACCACAAGTTTTATTTAAAGAATAAACCTTGTTCAGAAATGACGTGCAAGAACAAACTATGACAGCAACAACTCTGATGATAATTGATAAACAACTGCTAGCGGGTTTGTGCATTCAGTCCTTCTCAGGCAAGCGCAGGGGTTTAGTGTTGCAGGAGCCCACAGGAACTACGCTCCGCCACGCTTTTTTTTCTCCAAGTGAGGATTAGAATATATGCAGTTCACATTATCCAGTCGTAGCTAATATACATTTTTAAATGATTGAAGATCCACTCATTACTAAAAGCCTTCTTCATCCAAGAGAGACAATAAAAACTAAAGTGATAGTGAAAGTTGTTAAAGAGAAATTTAAGGTGTGCTGATGGATTCATCTTGTCAACTCATAAACTGAGCAACATTACAAGTTAACGTTGCACCTTAAAAGTCACCGGCAGTCGGCCCAGTGAATGAAGTTATTTTTTCTCCGACTCAGCAAAACATCCTTTCATTTCAGTTAGAGTAAACTCTCCACAGTATGAACAGTGATTACATGAGCCTCAAAACCAGACACAACTCAGCCCTGAGCAGAGTGACCGTCCTCTACTGACCAATCAGACTGCAGTGTTCACAGCTCCACCTTTTAGTACCAGATCTGTGTGCTAGGTACCCCAACAGAGGGGGGACCAAACATGGGGACGGTACAGAACGGTTCCATTGGTACCATCCACAACTTTTCACTGTGGAAACAGGAAAAAGCGTACCGAACTGAACTGTACTGCTCAGTGGAAACAGGGCTTTAGATGCCTGCTGCTAACGGTCTGGCACCTGGTGGCTATCTTTTTATAAAGCGATGACCTCATCCTGCATAATATCAATAATATCTACACTACAATTATAGTACTTTAATTTGGAGAAACATTATATCAGCTGTGGAGGTGGGTGTGGTTAGGAGTCAGCTGCAGGGGATGGCTGATGAGAGTAGCACCAGGTGAGTTGATTGGCACAGCTGCTGCTGGTTTGCTCTGATTGCATCTCTCCCTGTCTCATGCAGTGGTGTGCTGCGGCCCAGAGCAAGGAGAAGGACACTGCCTGAGTTTTTGGTTTAAAACTGAATGGACTGGAAGACATGTGCTGGAGGAGCCTGGCAGTCACAGGCACATGTTGAGGACTGATTTTGTTGTTGTGTGCTGGGGAGCTCACAGGGGTAGCAGATTGGCTACATTAGCAGTTTTTGTTTTTTTTAGAGAGACGTGTCTTTTAAACATTGTCCAGTTGTTGCATTAGTTGTTTAGCAGTGGATGGTTTTTAATGATAGTGACTGTGCAGGTTGACTCACTGTTGCCACCCGGCCGGTTGAGGCGGTGCATAGCAGCATTCTCTGGTTCCCGATATGGAAACTTCAGCGTGGTGTCAAGACTCCTAAAACCTTCCCTCAATGAGTGGTGTTTGTAGTACTCGATCAGCTCCTGCACGCACGCACGCACGCGCACACACACACACACACACACACACACACACGAAAATAAGTACACAAACCAAAGCAGTCATTTGCATTTGTGTTTACTGCATATCATGTCGCTTGAAATTCAGTTTATGAAAGCAGAGAAATGTCTCATCTTTTTGTTGTTTTTCAGCTCTTATGACAGAAACATCTGTATCATTTACATATCTGTCAAATCATGAAGAGTCGAGCAGAGTACCTGTTGCTTTTAATCTGTTGTCAGTGTGAAATAATAGCATGTGATGCGTTACAATATGTGATGAAAGCGGACCACAGTGGACAGAACTTTATTTTTCTATAAAATGCAGTGAAATTATATATGTCAACAAAATCCTGTTTTCTAGATATCACACTCAAAAACATGTTATTCAAATCTTAGCTACAGAGAAACACAGGTCTGGCATGAGAGAAATCTGGTGAAGCTTTTCCAATATGCGCTGGACTTATCTATAATGCTGAAGCCCTCGGGCCAGTATAAACACGTCTCTAATCATGGCTATTTTTGTGCACGCTGCTAAAATAAAATTCAGGTTCTGACACTTCATTAAGCGAACGTGATGATTTATTTATGAATTGCAGTGGTGGAATTAGAAAAAAATAAAAGAGGCTGAAAAGACTCACTAATATGCTCCTGAACTTCTTGTTCTCTGCGATGTAGAAGCAGCCCTCCTTGGTCAGGATCTTTATGTGCTTCACGTCGTTGTTGTACCTGTGGGCCATTGAATAAGTTATGAGTGTAATTTCCCTCCCTGATCACAGCCATCGATCGGTGGCTGGCCCCTGGCCCCTGTGGAAAGCACAGCAGTCGCTGTAATGCATGGGGTCCCGAAGGTTTGTGACACGTGAATGATGGGTGGTCAGGAGAGAAGGTGCCCATGTGTGTAAGCGCTCCCTCACCCACATACTTGTGCTGGCATTAACAGGGTGGCTGATGGGGCTCTGAGGCTGAAAGGGGTAAAAGCTGTGGCCAGGGTGAACAGAAACCTTAGATGTCTGTGATTATTCAACTGATAAAGGGCCAACTGCATCAATCTGCTTGGTCCCCATTTCCAAATTCTAAAATTTTCCATATCAACTGCTTGAGCTTGTTGAAAACATACTCAAAGGTTTGTGCATAAACTATATGAACAGAAGAAAGGGACCTGATTCATTAAGGGACCTGAGGATACTTGGACCTAATTCCAAATTGAGATCGACCTAAACAGACCCAAATTGAACTTCCCCTCCCGAGGCCCAACTCCACCCAATTAAAATGTATATAATTTGGGCACCCAGCCTGACTCTGGTCCTGGTTCAGGTCTTACAGAGCTGGATGTCTAAATTTAAAAAACTAAAGCTAGAATTTTGTCATGATTAGCGTATGAATTCTTGAGTTACAGCAAAGGACGATGGGCAAGTTCCAACAAGTGGTACCTCTTATACATAGCCAAGGATATCAGTTCTTTCATTCATTCATTCGGGCAAGAGGTGGGGTACACCCTGGACAGGTCGCCAGACTATCACAGGGCTGACAGACAATCCAACACCCAACAGCCAATTTAAAGTCACCACTTAAACTGCATGTCTTTGGACTGTGGGAGGAAGCCGGAGTACCCAGAGAAAACTCAAGCTGACATGGGGAGAACATGCAAACTCCACACAGAAGGCCCCGCCCCCACCCCTGGTTTGAACTAGGAACCGTCTTGCTGTGAAGTGACAATGCTAACCAAAAGTAAGTAACAAGTAATGGCCAAAAACATGTTTTGTGAGGTCACAGTGACCTTGACCTTTGACCACTGAAGTCTAATCAGTTCATCATTAAGGCTAATTGGATGTTTGTGTCAAATTTGAGGAAATTCCGTCAAGGCCTTTTTGAGATATTCCACGCAGGAGAATGAGACACACACAGCCTAACCGTGACCTTGACCTTTGACCATCTAATTCTAATCAGTTCATCAGTGAGTCCATGTGGAGGCTTGTGCCAAATTTGTAGACATTTAAAATATCACAGCAACGTACACCAAGAATTAAACGAGGTGCTCATCACGAGCAGTAGAACTGATTGTAGAAAACAAGTGTCGCACACTCTGGCTCCCTAGGCATTTCTTTTATTTTGATGATGTTTCAGCCTTTGGATCTTCTTCAAGATCAACAATCATGAAGAAGATCCAAAGGCTGAATTTTTTTTCTAAAATCAAATTTGTAGAAACTCCCTAAAAGCCTTCTTACGATATTGGGGTCACAAGAATGAGACAGACGTGAGTTCCCTTGACCTTTTACCACCAAATTCTAATCAGTTCATTGTTGAGTCTAAGTGGACGTTTGCACCGAATTTGAACTAAGTCCCTCAAAGTGTTCCTCAGATATTGTGCTCCAAGAATTAGAAATATACAAGTTCACAGTGACCTTGACTCTTGATGACCAAATTCTAATCAGCTCATTGTTCAGTCCAAGAGGACGTTTGTGCCAAAACTAATTCCGTCAAAGCGTTCTTGATATATCACATTTACGAGAATTAGACGGACACAAGTTCAGGACCTTGACCTAGTTCAGTGTTGAATCCATGTGGACGTTTGTGCCAAATTTTAACAAATTCCCTCAAAATGTCTCAAGATATCTTGTTCACAAGAATTAGATGGACGGATGGAGAACCTGAAAACATAATGCCTCTGGCCACAGTTGTCGCTGGCGCAGAGGCATAATGAACTTTTAAAACCTTAATGCTAATGCTAGGAGTCAGGGTTTTTTTATGTTAATGGAATAGTCTGATATTTTGAAAAATACGCTTTCATTTTTGAATTTTCTTTCTTTCTTTTTTTTGCAGAATTAGATGAGAATGACTGGAAATTGGGCTCTATCCAAAGTCACACAATTATTCTAGTGGCACCTTTATAGCTGAGTAATTAAAAAGTTGTATCTGGTTTGTCAGCTCCTCAGTTTTTCACTTCGGCTTTTGAACAGTTCAAATTAATCACATTTTTACACTTTATGACACAAACGTGTTTATTAGTGAGCATTACAGGTGCTCACAGCTGGAGTATTTTGCTTTTATCTTTCCCTGAAACATTAAACACGTCTTTGAACATAACACCAAAAGAAGAATTTGAAATGCAACACATTAAAGCTAAAAAAAAAAAAAGTTGTTAGTCTCAGAATAGTTCTCAGTGTTCAAATAAACACAAAAGTGGGTCTGTAGCTGTAATGCAGGAAAATATTTAGACTTTCAGAATCTTATTTTGAGGTTTACAAATGTAGAAAATGTATGGCTTTGTTAGCTTTAGAGAGGCAGATATACTCAGAACTACCCAGGAGGCTGCCTTTACTTTAGAACAATGCAGTAAATTACAATGCTGGAGCTTAATTCAGACAGAACTGGGGTCTCTCGGCTATTTGGACACAATCATCAAAAATGCTCTGGCAGCTCAACTCGGAGAAACAAAAGAATGAAGGAGAGGGCATTTCTATTTTCGAGGAATGCTTTTCAAATGCAGTTCCACAACGAAGGCTTCTCTCTCTATCCTGCTTCTCTCCTTAACAGGGAGGTTTTAATAACCTTGAACACACACTCGCAGTCGTTCTCTGCTCTGTTCAGACCACCGCGTCTGTGAACACAAGCAATTAAGAAGGAACTTGAAGGCTCTCAGAGCGGTTCATTCCACAGAAAACAAGGATGCTGAAAAAAGTTGAATGAATTTAAATGAATGTTTCCGCTGCTCACAGAGAAGCATGCTCGCTCCTCGTGGAAGAGCATGTTCTCTTCACAGTGTGTGTTTACACTGATGCCATTTATCCTATGCATAGTTACAAACACTGGTGGGGTCATTATCAAGATTAACATGGTTGATTCTGAGGTCAAACCATAATGAATACAGCCACATGTAGTTTAAATGAGACCCTGCTCCATGATTAGCATCTGGTTTGGTCAGTTTCACACTCATCACTGTGGTTAATCACATCGTCTTGCAAAGGGACTATGAATCGGTCCGTCAAATTGTGTTGTGCAGCCCGGGTTTGTCTGGTCAATACTGTGGTTTGGCTAAAGGCATCTGATGAATCCAGCAGACGGAGCAGCCACAGACAGACAGAAAAGCTGTCATGCCATAGAGAAACAATAAGATCTGATGATTGCTAATGGCTGCACCACTCAATAAAAAGCTTAATTAAGATGTTTACTTCTGTTGTCACCACTTACATCATCATTAAACACAGATATTACATTTAAAGGACACTCCTGTTATGAGCACAATTTGTCTGTCATTGTAAAAGATCCATTTTCATTTATTTAAATCAATTAAATCCAAGAGTCTAGCAGCAATCAGAGGTGGTGACACGGGCACTCTCTGTATTATGAGGTTCTTGAATGACTTGATAGAAATGTCAGACTTACTTTATACTGATGGCGTACTCTGTGTACTCTCTACTGCGGTGGCGGACCAGGTAGGTGCTGTTGACCCTGTTGATGAGTTCTGCCTCCGCCTGAAGCCTCTCCATGGGCCCTGCAAACCTGCAACAAAACAGCTATCAATGTCAATCAATGTTGTCCTTTACAGTCTGTGTGGTAGCCGTTAAAGTTGTGTATGCTTATGTATAAAATTAGATAAAGCTTTTTTTTTTTTAAGATGCTGACTGGTCCAATCATTAATTTAGAAAAAAGAGGCGCTTTTTTATGATAATAATGATTGTAAAAGACTGGTTTATTTTAAGCATCTTTATTTTATACGGAAAATACTAGATTCACAAATGCAAATGGACTAAAAGATGCCGCATACAACAATTTAAAGTAGAAAAAAGGACATTAAATTGAAACATTGCATGAATCGAAGAAAAGTAACGCAATAAAAACAGTAGGAATCTTTAAAGCTGTGATATTTTTCTTTAATTTCTTCTCTTATATACTTTTGTTCTTTTGTTTTGTCTAATTGCATTCCTCTTTGTTTGAACATTGTACAATAAAAAAGTTAGGTCCAAAATGTGCTTTGATGTGTCTGTGTAAAATTGAAATAAATTAATAATTTGTCATCAGCCTGTAGCTTTTTAGAGTGATCTAATGTTTCATACATTATTAACATCTGCATTAGCTGTGTTTTGCTCTATCCAATAAAACTGTGATGCTCTTCAGCGAGAGACTTTAACCTTTGGTCCAGTCAATCTAACTCAAAAATGGGCCCAACCTTGGAGAAATTGTAATAGTAATGCTTCATAGTTTTCACCCTCCTGCATAATAGATTTAAAGTACTTTCATGGATTTCGTGGACCAATGTTTTTTCAAGGTCAAAAGCAAATCAACATTTTACAGTTACATGGTCCGAGCTAAATGATGTTAATATTGGAGGGTCTATGCCCACCGATACAACATATTTGGTTTGTTTTCCTAAGTATTTGGGGTCAATCTTTTCAATAAAACACTTTTTAGGAGGATATTCTGACGTATTATACCTGTATTTGCCAAAATTTCCACTTACAGTTTGTGCCACACTGCCCCTATGGGCGTATCTGCATCTAAACTGGGTGTAAATTAGACTGTATATATTTCATTTCTCTGACATCATCATTAGTTGCAAGGTTAAGAGTTATGTAGACGATAACATGCTTTATAACCTAATTTTACAGACTGTCTGGATTCAAAAAAAGGCCATGTTGGGGTAAAAGTTCCCCTTAATTGCACATATACATTCAAGAGAGGTCATATCTGATGGTTATCTGTGAAAGAACATCCTAAAAAACTAATGTTTAGACATGAATTACATGAAAATATCATGTTCAGAAGCAGATATGCACTTCTCTGTGTGATGTTTTGACACAAATTTCAAGCCCTGAATTTACCTGGATCCACTAAGTGTATAATAGTATACTTTTATTTTGTTATTTGGACATCCCTCGAGATCACAAAAAATGTTGAATGATTACTATTGCAGTTTTTCCTGATTCAAACCTTAGATTGACTTGACTACTTCTTTCTGCAACATATCCAGACTGATGCAGCTGTTCTGTGTACCTACCAGGCTTGAGAGGAGTAATCGACAGGCTTCGGGACCTGGAGCAAAGAGCAAAAGTCAACATGTGTTGTTGTTTTCATGAAGCTTGCACTCATCCAACGTAAATACAGCACCACAGTAAAGTACTTGGCACCAGTTCCTCTGTGCTGTTTTCAAGCTGATGTTTTTCTGTTTCTAACACAGGTGCTTTTACACAGTACAGCCCCAATAAAACAGCTTAATGCTCTTCTTATCTTTACAAAACTGTAGACATGGCGATAATAGTTTTGTTATCTACAGGACGGCTCATATACCTGAAGCAGCTGGACACAGTGTGAGTTTCATTTTATCAAATGCAATATGACAATCCAGTGGTGGAAGATTTATTAAAGGGAGAACAAAAACAACCAATTGATACACAGTTAAGTCAGTGAAGACGATACACACCATTATTTCTCGCTCTTGGCTTTCCAGTTTAGTTTGCACAATATAAAGTATGCTTGTTCCTTACGTATGAGACATCGTTTTCTTCATTGCGTCTTATTGATAAAGTGTATTGGGCAGTAAACCAGTTTTATCTCTTAAGACAACACAAGTTCCTTGTGCTGAGAACATAAAAAACCATGGGCTGTTTTTCTTTCCCTGCCAGGTAAAACAGCTTCCCTCCCCTCCCAAATCCCCAACCAGCCTCACATCACCGGACTGCTAGTAAATACATGCAGCCAAACACAAGTTGCTACAACAGGCCCTAATGTAGCGAAGGACGAGAAGGAAATGCTGCTTACACATGGGCACGGCTTCACAGCGTCGCTTGGAAAGAAGCCAACTTCCTTTGTCGTCAGGATTTTGCCCTGAAACCACAGAGAGAGATAATTGCGTTATGTACATCTGGCTGGCTCTGTCTCCATAATTCAGAAACAATTAGCTTGCAACACAGAGCAGTGTAAATTTACAGCCCCAGTTAACTATTGTTGAAATAATGGCTGGCAGGAAGAAGGAAAGAGGACAAGTTCCTTATTCCTCCCATGGTGATGACTCTTTAAGCTCAGTGCCTTGATTTAACAACACTGCGTCTGCATAAATAGGGCGGCCATAGTGCAGTTATCTTCCTCTGACTGACTCAGGCACTGTGAGTTGATGATGCTGTTTTTATTCTGTGCACTGACAAAATATTTAATTTGTACGGGACAGTAATCCAGTCATGGATTCCATAGCTGAAAAGAAATTGAGGCTCAAAAAAGTATTTGTTATTGTGCATATGCACACTGCTGTTAGAAAGTAAATACACAGGAAGCAGCAGCATGCATGCAGTGTTTGTCTCATATTCAGAGAAGATTGGCTGTTGCTCCATTTTGGTCCATTTTCTCTTAATAATAATGATGATAATAATAATACACTTCGTTAATATAACACCATTCCAAAACAAGGTTTACACGACACTTTACAGGGTTAAAACAACAAACAAAATTCAGCTCCATTGCGACAGGGTTCACCGAAAAAACATCTGTCTTATATTAAGTATTTTTCCAAACAAATATAATAGCCTATCAACGAGCGGGGATTTCCTCTGCTCATATGAAGCCAGGATAAATCACAAACAAGACTTAAAAAGCTATTTTTGTGGAGGCTTTATTGTCTTTGCAATTTATTGTTTTTTATCTGTGAAATTAAAGTAAATAAAAGCTTTGTTTCCACTGAGGGAAATGGTTTCAGCTTACATAAATAGACAGGAGGTCACCAATTAACCTGCATGTCTTAGACTGTAGGAGGAAGCTGGTGTACCCAAAGAAAACCCACACTGACAGGAGGGCTCCCCCACCCTGGGTTTGAATCAGGAACCCTTATGCTGTAAGGCAACAATGCTGCATCTCCACTACACCACTGTGCCTCCCATATCATAATCAATAAACAATGTAAATCAAGCAACAGGACATTAAACTTAATAATAAAACACCACAATCAAAATTAAAACAATAAAATAAATGGTGTGGGAAGGTAAGATGAAAGGATCACAGGACTATTAAAGTGTGTTTTAAGAACAGTCTTAAATGAAGGGACAGACTCTGCCATCGGGGTGCCCAGACTTTGGGACAACCTTCCAGAGGAGATTAGGATGGCTAACACTCAGTTACCTTTGTCTTTTCTTTGTCGTAACAGCACATGGCGGGCTAAAAGGTAAGAAATATAACTCCGAACCAAACTGCTCCGGGCTTTAAAGGTTATAAGTATAGTTTTAAAATCCAACTCAAAAACTACAAAGCAGCCTGTGTAAAGTTGACAGGATACGTGTCGTGTGTTGTCATTTTCTGGTGCCTGTTAAAATCCTGGTGGCTGCATTTTGGCTTAATTGTAGAGCAGACAGACATTTGGCTGCAGACAGAGACAAGGAAGTTGCAGTAATCTCTCAAATAAAAGCATGAATGACTGTTTCAAGGTTTTTGGTGTCTCGAAATGGCTGAATTTTAGAAATGTTCCTAAACTGAAAAGAGCATGACTGTATGATGGATTTGATGTGACAGCTCAAGTGAGGTCGCTGTTAAATAACACACCAAGGTTGCTACACTGCGGAGTAAAAAGATGGAAGAATGAACCCACTGTGTCTGTAATTTGAGTGTTGGAGAAATCAGTTCCAAATAGAAGCATGTTGAATGTCCTTGAGACAGTTTATAAGAGAGAAAATTCCACTGAAGTTATCAGGGTCAGAGTGGAGGTAAACCGGAGTGTCGTCTGCGTAAAACAGAAACTTATGAGATGTTCCAGTGGCACTGCATCGGTGGAGAATGGAATTTCTTCTGCCATTTTATGTCCAAATTCTAAAGTAATGCAAAGAAATCCCTTTGTTAGATGTGTTAGTAATCATTATGTAACATTATTGTATTTGTTTTGTCTCCTGTCTTGTACAAGTGCAGTTTTGCAGTGAACAGGTTTAACTGAATTCTTTATCTATTTTACCTGTCTTGTATTAAGTACTACTGTATGAGATTCGTTGGGGCCATCATAACATGTCTGATTATAGTACAATTGTCCCACACATGCAAAGCTCACTGTCAACCAGAAGTATTCATTCAAAACTCTGCAACTCGGCTATTAACCAGAACCAAGAGGAGAGAACGCATCAGGCCAGTCTGAACTGCTCTGCACTGACTTCCTATTACATTTAAAATTGATTTTAAGCTCCTCCTCCTTGCATACAAAGCTCTACATGGGCTGGAACTGAGCTACATTGCGATCTCCCTCATTAACTATTTGCCTCCAAGAACACTGCGATCATCTGCTACTGGTTTATTGGAGGTTCCCACACCTGGGAGGATGCTGCCAGTCATCCTTGTGGCCAGTTTGTCCCAATTATTATTGTTTTAATTGTAATTTTTTAAGACATTTTATTTACATTTGTGAAACTGTAGAGCCACGAAATGCTATTTTATTAAATTACATCATCCCAATGTAAACTCTGTGGTCCAAGTGGGAGTGATGGGGATTAATATTTTTGCATCTGGATGTCATATGTAGCCAACTGAACTTCAAAGACATTGATGAACCTTTTTTTCAAATATGGAAGGAGATTTGTATGTAGTATTTGCTTATATTTAGTGTATAGTTCGTAGACCAGCAGCTGTAGCATTAATGGGTTTTACAAATGCTGCCTGTTGACTCTTGATTTAATGTGACAACAGGATTTTGACACTCTTTTGGATTCTACAGGTGAACTGGGGAGTTTGAGACCTTCCATATGTTTTGCACTTTGAGAAGTGTTATACGACAGCGAATAGTCAATGAGGGATTGAGGGGTGTATTTTTAGACACAGCCTTAATCACAGAGGCATAAATAGCACACTACCAGCTAAGCCTATTTTGGTGGTTTTGTGGTGGTCGCCTGTCACATCCCTGCTACGTACCTCAGCACGTTTTATCAGCCTTGTTGGAAAAGCCTTGCCTTTCTGCTGCTTCCTCGCTAACAGCGTGATAATGATTATAGCTGGTAACATTGACAGAGTAAACAGATGGTTGCTGGTGAATGAAATGAAATTACAGTGATCGATTCTATTTTTTCACGCAACCCCAGAACAGAAATGATTATGGTCCGCTGGCTACAAAGGTGATGGATATTGAATGTTTGCTGACTGTGGGGCTGTGGCTGCCTCCAGTTAAGCTTTTACACAAGGTTAATTGAATTCTTTATCTATTTTATCTGTTTTGTATTAAGTAGATTTGTTGGTTTCCTCATTACATGTCTGATTATAACACAACAGTACAGCAGTTCATGTCGATACAATGCCCTTTTCAGGCCTCGGGCAAAATCCTATTAAATTATTATGATGACTTTGATTCAGCCTCTGAAACACACACAGTCAGTCACCACCACACAACAATGCATCAAATTTCCAGAACACTCCTTATCTTTGCTCCTCCAGTGAGGTTTGAATCACATGTGATGTCACATCAAAGTAAGTGCTTACATGAAACTAACAAATATTTCCAGTGTGTGGGAGTTTTACTTCCTTATAAGAAGAGCTCTGCCGTGTGTGTAATTGTCTGTGGGCGTACACACGTTAATAAGAATTTGATTTTCACTCGCAGCTTGTTAGCAAGAACAGTCCAAATTACCTGCGCTACATTTAGCCACATACACAACTGGGACACTGTTTGGACTGGTCACACTCACAGATGGGTTGTGAAGCAAAACTTCTGCTCCCATGAACTATGTCCTCATAATTTCTTTTAATATTTCCAACAAATGGCTTAAATTCTAGATTTAGGCTCATAGTTTTTCTAGAGGTTGTTCACTTTGCACTGGGGACATAGACATGATAAAACTGAGCACAGATACCAAAAGAAGTTCAGTTAAGTAAAAAAAAAAAAGAAAAAAAAAAAGAATGAATATTATGAATAAAAGAAGACCATTAAATAATAATGTGATATTCTTAAATCAGAAGCCATGTTAAACTCGCTGCAATTTTATTTACATTTTAAGAGGAACTATAGTTTTTGTTTTTCCAGATGCCAGTTTTAAAATTTACTGTGTCCCTGAATTTATTTTACACCCTTAGTTAGTAGTTTCCTGACATCCTTCAAATAAATGAATAGTTAATATATAAAAAAAATAAGTAAAAAAATGGAAAAAAAGACTACAATTCCATTGGAAATATTCTTTTTAGGAAATGACATTGAGTAAAATGGAGTGAAATAGGGGAGCATAAAATTTCACTTATGTTTTTTTCACCCATATTTCATGATGTTAATCAGTTTGTCACACTCTTAAAGTTCCTCTCTGTTAGGGAAGATTAAACAGAAAGTTGGTCAGCTGTGTGAGTGGACCCCAGGAAGACTAGCAACCACTTTGTGGAAGCTAATGGGGATCCGATTAAAGAATGAAGAATGAATAAAGTAAAAAAAAAAAAAAAGTTTGTTTATGTGTCGAGAGTTAATAGCTAGCTAAATCTGGATTACTTACACAGCTAAGATCTGTATGACGCATGCAGTACCACTACCTGCCATCCACCAATATGACTGATTAGTTCTGCAACAGGACCTGACCTGGTGACACAAGATCACCTGCCTGACTTTAAACTGCAAATCCGATAATAACCATGCGCTGTTCAAATAATTGAGTAAGGCATCATGTTTATAGTGATCAATTTGGGACATTTCACACACGTGAAAATAAGTGAATATATTTTAAAACAATGATGATTCAGGAAATACAACTCAAATTAATGTTTTTTGCTTATTCTCAATATATTGAGCAGCACATCTCCACAGTTAACGTTAGTAATGCACCTGATTGAAGCGGCCCTCATATTCCAGGTGGCACAGAAGACAGAGCCGACACACAAAGTCAGCAGTTAGAGAATTAAAAAGTTAAATTAAATTATTGGTAAAATTTATTATCATTTTATTTTAATATATTTATCATCCAACACCCACAATCCGTCCCACTTATTCTTTGTTTAACCCAGAACTGAACCCAGAAAATGAAATTAGGACAAAATTCCACCCACGAATCATCTGTTTTGTACCTGCATGAACCAAAGCAGGACTCTGCTCAAACTGCTTCACCCTGAGATCGCCCAAAATGTTGTTCTGAAAGTTAAATGTGTTACTTTTCTTCTAACTTTTCAGTAAAACAAAGATGGATTTGCATGTTTTTGCGTTATATGTTGCTGCATCACAGGAATGACCCAGGTATAAACTGTCTACATGAACATGTCTTTAACTGATGAGGAAGCTGATACATTGGACAGTACTGCAAAACCCATTTAATAAAAATTGGCCCATGCCGACTACACCAGATCTGACCTGTAAAAGAAACGGCATCACTGACTAACCGATACATCATTCAAACCTTATCACAGAATATGAGGTCAGTGTGAGGGTTAGATGTTCTGACAGTGGAGGAAATGAGAGATTTAAATACAGTACGTCCATTTTTTAGTGTCGTGAAATATGCGATTAAGAGATAGTGTGACCTCTGACCTGCCACCAGGGGCTGTGTAGGTCGGCGCCGATTAATTCGATGATGTCACCCGTCTGGATACTGAGCGCCGGACCAGACGTGGGGCTCGGCACGCCAAAGTAGTTCCTGATTACCAGCATCTTGGGCAGACCTGAAAGAGGGATACAGTTAGTTCCTGCATACTGTCTGCAAACAGGGCTTCAAGGAAATCTGCCAAAACAATATTTCCTGTTTATATTTCTTTATTTTATTATATGTAGAAATTAATTAAATGTTCTAAAGGTGAGAAGAAGAAATAATTGTTGCTTTTTTTTAATCTTAATTGTCCACTTTATATTTCACATTTAACTTTTTTCCTTCTGTTTGGGATAAAGTCAGTCGAGTTTAATTAAAAGCCCATTAATTCACATTGTAATCAGCGTGAACACATGATGTACGGTGATGATTTAACTAATAGACTTGTTTGTAAAAATAAACTGGAGAAGCTATATGAGGAGATGAAGACCAAAATCAAATCTCAGACTTTTTCTGTCTGCAAAGGCGTAGATATCTGGAGGGACGCAGGGTACTGTACGTGTCCCCCTCACTATTTAAAATATGTGAATTTCTCCGACGAAAATCACCACATTACAGAAAAATTAAGTGTTTTACTTCCAAAAGTCCCCCCCAACATGTTGAAACAACACCTACACCAGTGAGTATCTGGCTCCATAAGAGCCTGTCTGTATGTGTGTACATATGCATGCTTGTACCCTGTGACCTCCGGCCTAATAAGGGCATGTTTGCCATTCTAAAAGTGCATCTTTGCTCCACTAAACTATTCATGGCCCCGTTATAGGTGGTAATGAGAGGGAGTATACATGTGTACACACACACGCACAAACACACCCCTTGTCAACCAGTGTACTGCCCTTGCAAATCATTTGGACCCATTATCATATTACAGATAAGCAACAGTGCACTCTGGTGCTCGGACGGTTATCTGGCTCCGAGATAAAAGATTAAGCAGGAGTTTCAGTGTGGACGCTGTTCACTGCTGCACGATGTATTCAGGCCTCGGGGGGGGGGGGTGTTATAAGGACGTATCAATAGAAGTGGACATTTTTTATCCATCACTGAGATCTGATGAAAGGTAGTCGTGGTTAGCTTAAAGGAAAATCATTCTTTTGTTTGTTAGTATGCTGTGTTAGGTAACGGTGTTGTCTTCTGAGACACTGTCACCATCTCCCTCCACAGTCAGACTCACTGTATGCATGCCTTCACCTCACCTGCTGCAATTACCAGTGCAAAGAGTAATTAAAGCACATTGCTCCACAGGTAATATATCAACAAGCAGTAAGGCTTCACACTGGCACTTAAAGGAGGGCATTTTAATCAGGCTGAATTTGTTTGTCGGAATGACCTCAGTCAGCGCTATTTGATTTTACACAATGGCCGGCTTTGATCCCATTATTCCCCAAGAAATCACTGAAATTGAATTAAAACACCCACCCATGCCAAACAAATCCCAAGTTCATATCTCATGTGCCAAATGAAATGTGCATATCTCTCTCTCTGCATTGTGCGGCGATAGCGTTGTGCAGGAATACAATACAAGAAAAAGAAATTCAAGTGAGAGCATGAAGAAAAGGGTAAAGCTTACGGCAAATAATAGAGACGTCAACAACATTGTATTGAAAGCTAATACATCTATATCTGGCTTGCTTCTCTGTCAGGGTCTGTTCCAGTGCTGTAGCACCAAGGCTGGCAGCCTGACATGTGCTAGCTCGCCTGAATAGGACTTCTAAAGACACAGGGCCATGGAGAATTGAGTCTCGGGGGCATGAATTACATTCCTATCCACACAAGGACAAGCCAAGTGTTAGCACACCTTTGAAAACAGACAAAGAGAGCAGCGTCGAAATATTATGAAACGCCAAAGGCTGGGGCAATCAAATGCCTATTGATTTTAATGCGTCTTCAGTCAGAAATGATTTTCTGCAGCATAATGGATGGAGGGGTGGAAAAATGAGTGTTGAAGCCAGGTTTATGAGAGATTAAAGGCCCTCGGTGTGGTGTAAGCACACGCACGCAAACACACACACAGTTCAAAGGATGCTGCATGTTATTCATATTCTATTGGGGAGAGACTGAGAAACAGAAAGCCACAGAGGGACGGAGGGCAGAAATGCACCAGCTATGTTCACTGCATTTACTGTACGCAGCCAGTAATCTGCTGTTTTATGCGTTCTGATTTTGGTTTTAATTAACTTAGCCTGTTAATGTGAGTGGTCACAGGCACCCTTTACACTCTGCAACATGTGTTCGGGTGATCGAATTGCAATGGGATAGTGCTTGACCACATGAAAGTACAGGTGTAAATGCACATTAAGGACAGTGTGGGTTGTGATCCAATCAGTCAACCACGTTCGGTGGTCAGGGACACATTGTGACCACATTTAACACAAGTGTAAATGCAACTGCAGCCATTAGCCAGTTAGCCGGCTAAGCTGCTAGCAAGAAAGCAGCAAGAAAGGTTTCGGATATTCAAGAGTCAAAACGAGACTGAGTGTTGACTTTCACTTTGGTCCGATTAAAGCATACAAGCCAATTCATGTTGCAACTGAGGAGGTCAGAGATCAAGTCTCAGCTGCAATGATATAATCAGTTAGCTACCAGGTACGCCTTCCTCTCTGACTGTGCCAGATCGCCTATGATTCCAGGAAAAACAATTTTGACGCCCTGCCAGTAGCAACGCACGCAAACCTTCTGCCAATCCTGACAATCAACCTGACAGAGGCCTGTGGCCTGAATTACATCCCAAAATTTGGTGATTTGTCTTCAGAGCAGCAGTTTCTAGGCACATGAACACTGCCAGCGAGAATTTCTCACCTGGATCTCGATCTTTGCCCTGGAAAAAAAAAAAAACACACAAAGTTACACACTGCTCATGGCTGTATCAAACACATGCACATTTAGACATGAACGTTTCAGTCTTATCCCCTGAATCCCCTTCTGCTTCTATATGTTTGGACACACAGCCTAATGCTATGAATACACCCCTCTACTGCTGCACACACAGAATTAATATTTTAACCCAGCCTGCTATCTCCCCTATACAAGCCACATGCAGCGGGCCCCACAGGAATGACAATACATAACATATTAAAACCCATATTGCATGCACCGACGGCACAGGCAAACTACTGTGTCCCACTGCAGCAGATATATTTTAAAGATGCAGAGAGCAGTCATGTGTAAATACAGATATTTTTTTGCAGATAATGATGTTTGATTTTGTGTCACCTCTCTACAGTATTTCCAACCAAAATAGAACTACTACTAAGACAACAACAACACAACACGCTGTATTTATGCATATTTTCGCGTGCACTGCATCAGAGCAGTTGGTCGAAAAGTTTCTGCTGTTTTAAAAGTTTGGGTCTCGCATTTTGAATCAGTGTTTGGCACTTTTTCTGCACAAAGAACACTTCATTAGTTACTGTACAGCACCTGACACAGAATAAACACAGAGGAGTCGGGACTCTTGTCAATTTCACACCACTTCTGTGTTTCTTTGCTGATGAGATTCGGCTGTTTTTGTTGCAATCTCACCTGCAAAGTGCAGTTTTAGCCTCAGTTATTGGCATAATTGCTGTAAGCCCACTCTAATGCCCTGCTTGGTTTTACTTTTGAGCTCTGTAGCAGTGAAGCACACAGAAGCAGCAGAGACAACTCAGGGTAAATCTGCAGAAAACATTCTCGTTCCTGGCGTCAGGAAAAGCTGCAGCAAGTAAAGTCAATTGGAGTCTCCTTGGCAAATAGCTGCAGGAGAGAGCAGCCTTCAAAGTGCAGCAAAGCTTTGGAGAGGAGGCGAACAGCACACGCAGACAGACAGTATACACATCAACACGGACACACACACGCACAGCAGCAGCTCACCTGAGTTCTGACGGAGCCGGGATCTGAAAGAAGTTTGAGAACAGGCATAGTGAATGATGGGTTAGCGGGTGCACGCAAACACTTGCACACACTCGTCGGTACAAGGCAACACTCCCTCATTAGTGGAGAAGGCGGACGCTCGTGTCTGACCGTGGTTCGCTTTGTTTTGCTGCGCTGCCACTACCTGACAGCCGGGATAGAGGAGGTAACGAGGCGGGGGGTGGAGAGGCAGGGAGGAGGGAGGGGGGCAAACCTAAGGTTTTTGCTCCACCAGTTTCTTTCATTGGCTCCCTGAGGGACAGGTTACACCTCCCAGACACACACAAACACACACCTTTGCACACACACACAAGTATTCCTGTACCTGTACAAACAGAGCACACACACATACCTTCACACTCACACACACACACTTACTGGCAGAGAGCCACAAATATGTACCTACACTGCCTATGCACACACACTTCTCTCAGCAGGCCTGTTGTTCCTCCAGTGAACTTTGACCTGTTACGCAAACACCTGGCGAAGCAGCTGATAACAGAGACAAATTCATGTAAACAATGGCTTATCTTTCACACACACACACACACACACACACAATACTGTGGTGCTGTGATTGTGTGTGTGCAGCCCTGCTTGCACCTTGACAATATCTGTACATGCAGACATTACACAGGCTTTCTGAGTGAATAAAGTTCAATGTAGTGGTGAAACCAACAAATTAAACTGTCCTTTCTTTCTGTACTTCTACTTTAAGACTTCTTAAAATACTTTTTGTTCGGTATGTTACTTAAGTATTCATCCTCACCCCCTGCACATATTCCTGCACCAGCAAGAGGGTGGAGACCGTGTGGAGTAATGAGAGGGGGAATTTAAACAGACATCCCAGGCTTCACCAGCTCTCCCCCCGCAGGTGTTGCCCAAATCTACTCAGGTACACACAACACCCAGGTGGGCTTGGCGTGCCTCTGCGACCTGCTAGCGCCATGACAGATGCCAGGTCCAACAGGGGCTGGCAGCTTGCCACAGGGCATACAGGCAGGCACACGCAATTGTGACACGCGGTGTTACAGGCTGTAACAGTATAAACTTGCACGCTAGCTTGATTTTGAAAACAAGAGTTGCAGAGTTTTAGTGCCTTGAGAACACGAGCGTGCACTTTCAAGACCTAAAAGAAGTTCCACAAACAAACAGAAAAGTGTGAATTTAGTTTTTCACCTCTTCATGCTCCTTCTCTCTCTCTCTCCCTCTCTCTCTCACACACACACACACACACACACACACACACACACACACACACACACACACACACACACACACTGAGGACATGCTAAGCTGGTTTCTGAAGGCCTTCTTTTCATTCCACATGTCTGAAGTTTTCCCACCATCTCTTTCAGAGCTGTCAGTGCTCCTGCACAGGGAGCTGAGTGACAGATACACAACAGGGGCATAATAAAAAAGTCAGGAGTTTCATAAAACTCCTCAGTAAAACTACTATTAAGCTTTGGGGATCGGTGCGATGATACACACTGACATTGCCTTTAAGGTGCTGTGAAGTGTCAAAACCACCCAGGGAAGCGGGGGAGCTTTTGACTGAATTTCTGCAATACTGATCGAACACTTGGATGACCTTGGTTTGTAGAAATAAGGGCACTTAAAAAGTTCTTATTTACTGAGAGCAAACGCCCTAATTCCTATAATTTAACTTGGTGCAATACTTCCCAAAATGTCACTGTGTAGCTTCTTCTTTAAGTCACAGTGCAACTCATCTCCCTCATACCCATAATTAGTCACATGAGACACTCATACATCAGGTTTTATGTGTATCATCTGTCATCATGTTCATACTGCTACGCTGTAAGAGTGCAGTTGTGTTCTTACGATTAAATTTAATGTGTCCCTAGGAATCATTTTGTTCAGTGACAAATTGTTAACTGCAGAATAATTGCAGACTAGACGTGACGGGTACGAGGTTGTGCAATAAAGTGAGAGACTTTGGTTTTATTTGCGTGAGTAAAGCAGTAGTTAGTTACCTGTTTTTCCACAGCAGCCAAAGCGGCCCAGGCATTCTTTATGGGCACCTAAACCACACTTGGAGCACATATAGCCCTGGTTGAAGATGCCCCTTCAAACACACAAACAGGAAAAGTCATCACATGGATTGTTTGATAGTTACACACAGTAGTAACAGTATGTTATTGCAAAAGAGAGTGAAATTACTGTACTGCTAATACGAATGTCCAGATCCAAGCTGCAGTCAAAAGATTTAATGTTACGGAAAAACAGCTGCCACATTTTCTGACATGGACCAAAAGTTCATTTCTCCTGCATTTAAGCCACCCCAGTAGCATCGCTCTATGGATGCCAATGTTGGTCTAGACTGATATATCTCTACCACTCCGCTACTGAATGGATTGTCATGAAATTTGTACAGACATTCATGATTCCAAGATGGTGAATCCTAATGACTTTGGTGTTCCTCTGATTTCCTCTTGTGTCACTATAACCCCCTTTCCCCCAACTCAAGCCTAGTTCAGTCAGGAACACTTCAGTCCAAGAAAACTTTATTTACATTGCAGTATTATCTTTGGCGGTATGGCTCTGTTCTGGGGCCTCTCTGTCTTTCCTTGTGCCTATGCAGAAAGACTCTTCCATACGCCTACCATGAAAGCCTTAAGGCAGAGAAAGGACACCTTTCTGCCCTTCCACATGCAAATGAGGAAAGCCTGCGGCAGAGACATCAAATTCCACTGCCCTTTCATGTGCCTACATGGAAAGCCTAAGCCCTTATGCTAAGCTAAGCTTCTGGTTCTGGTTCTGGGTGGGTGCTGGTACTGGTTCACAGTAGATTCAAGTCACCGTATATGCCTCTGGTTTTCTAGTAATACCAATGCCATCCACCGAATGCACTGTAACTTTACACGAGAGCTGGTTTTGTGCTCAATGCTCCCTCAAGTTTGAATTTCTGTGGAGGACTACAAGTGCAAAGAGACAGTTTTTGTGTCCATGAACCACTTGTTTGTTTTTTACGTCTATAATGAAGTTCTGGGTTTTCAAAATGGCAGTCACAGATATCTCAGATACAGCAGCTGCCATCTTGCAATGGTGACGTCATCTGGAGCGAGTCTGAGTTCCTTCTACTTTTCCAACCAATTGTGAGCAGCACCATAGATCCAGAGCACACTGATTGGCACAAACTGCTGTCAATCATGACGTCAAACCCCCCTTTTTATAGCATCAATAATCTTAACAAATTACAACTAAACACTTGAACAAACATCAATGTGATAAGAACTACCTTAAATGACAGAAAACATCTTTAAGAAATATTCTTTCGACGTGTACTTTGTTGTTTTAGTTTAGCTCATGTCCCATCTGCTGACATGGAGGAGGCGGGGTTTATGACCTATACCGCAGCCAGCCACCAGGGGCGGACAAAATGTATATTTGTTCCTTATGAACCGACCTTACTGCTTCATTTTTGTGGTTTCTGAACCAGCCATGTGTCGGTGTCACTGCAGAACCAGTTTCTCTGGCGTCTCTCGTCTCTTTTGCTGCAGAAACATGCAGAGCTGGTTCTTGGTTCGGCATCAGCTAACAAACTACCTTGATGGAAAATGGTTATGAGAGATTGACATTTGTTGTTTTGAGTGAAATGCCTAAACAACTGTTGGACAGATTGTTATTCTCGTGCCCCTCTGGATCAACTGTAATTAGGGTATTGTTTAAAGATAACAATACGAGTACCCTCAAAGTGATACTGATACCAATACAGTGCTTAATTTGATAAACATAATGTGAATAGAGTATGTGTGTAGTTTAGCCATTCTTTTAATGTTTTGATGGTACCCTGCCACGCTTAACTGCCAACTCTGTCACCAACACTGTGCTCAACTACTCCAAACCACAGACTATATGGGTTGTATCTGCTGCTGAGGGAGTGTAAGGGTCAGTTGTGAGTCCGCCCATCTGAGCACACAGAGTGATGGGGCTAACTGTTAGCATCACACTGCTGATGTTACGTAACCTTTATCAGCAGGTTTAATGATACAGTCAAGTCTTTTCATTGTCAGTGTGAGTTTGTTGCGACTCCAGCTGCAGTGTTAGCTCGTGCTAACTTGGCAGTGAGACTACGGAGAAAAACAACAGAAAATTTGCTGATCCAGCGGGGAGTGATGGTTCGGGATCAGACCCTTGGTGCAAAAAGGAAAGCAGGTATCGTTTGATATTACTTGCTACTTGATTAATTTGGTCAATACCTGAAAATTATCAAGTACAAACTCCCTAATTTTAATGGCTCTGGTGACCACTTAAAATTTCGTCTAGCACCAACATCAGATCAAAAATGGCAGTTTTTCCCAAATCATTAGTTGACCAAATACCAGCAACAGCCTCAGCTCTACTTTGTGTTTAGTGCTTATTAGCCAATGTTAGCATGCTAATATGCTTAACTAAGATAGTGGACACATCACTCCTATGTTCCTATGATGATTTTGGAAACACCATCGCTGTGATTTCTTGGTTCAAGTATGGATTAGTGAGTCCTTGAGGTCTTTGAGTTCCTGGGCTAAATACAGATCCAGGCTGTTCCACCAGCAGCACTTGGACACCAGCCGGGATTCAATACTGCCCACCAAAGCCACAACAGGTGTGTGAGGCAGAAGTTATTTCAAATGTTTCATTTTAAACTATTCCAAGACCAATAAACTGCATCAGCTCATATCTAATAAATACTGAGACGATCACACTGAAATTTTGGTGTAAATGAGGTGAGCACACACGCAGAGACTGAGGCAGCAGCAGCGGGCAGTTTTCATTTACATAACCATCTCAGAGGCCCTAATTAAAATGACATGAAAGTAAAGGCTGCTCTGCTCTGCTCTCCAGCTAATTGTCTGTTTAACCTCTTTGAAATAACCAGCATGGAGTTCACGTGCAGGTACACTATCACTTTGTGTGCAGTTCAGAACTACAGGGTGCGTGTTGCATTGGGGGTAGAAGTCAGAGCAGTGAGTTTAAACCATTAGGACGTATGAAACCTTTGCAATTCTTATGAAATCACATGAAAGGAAATGTAAGGTTTGTCCAAGATTTTCGTTTCAAAATAAAACTTCTACAAGACATGTTACTGTATGTGTCATCTGATTAATGATGCAATACCTCAGACAGGCCTGTGCCCTTATATATATCATCATAAAACATGACAAGTCCCCTGACTGTATAGCATACACGAAATGTCAGATTCATGCGGTAGGTTTTATAAAATAATGTCATGCACATCTTGAAATCACAGAATAACACTTGACTCATTAGACTCATGATTCATGAAGTCGTTTGATATTTGAAGCCTGTTAGATAAAAGGTAAAATTTCTTTTGTGCCTTTTAAAGTCAATCCAATGTTCTTCTACAAGCACTGTGCACAAAGAGCTCTGGCACAATAGTTATAATGAAATAGTCCAAAGGACCAATCACTATTGAAAGAAAAAAATCAAGAAAATAGTAATTTGTATAAAATAATTATACACTGCACCTCAGATGCTTCTTCCCTGCATTATTCTTGTTTCTCTTGTATCTTATCCCCTAAAAATGTGAGTGAATTCAGTACCAGGCTCTGTATATTCACAGTGCAATTATCTTGTCCCCTTTCCCCATCCATCGCCTTGAAGAAGTGCTCAAGTGTGACAGACATTTTTCTTTACCGTCCTCGGTAGGTGAAACCACTCAGTCGTCCCCGCTGCAAGAAAGACCACGAGTCGCAGTCCTCTGGGTGCCGATACCATTCAGCAAATTCAAAAGAAACTTTGTGTAACTAAGGCACATGTGCAGAGGAGGAGAGGAGTAAAAGGAAAGTGACGAATAGATTGTTAGGGTACACTGGAGAGGAACAGGAGTAGTGGAGGTCTTTCAAAGGAGTCCTGACAGTTGTTTGAAGGGAAAGGGGTTCGCGTCTCGTCCTCAGTCTTTATGTTTGACGATAGCCTTGAAGAGGGTTTTGTGCTGCTTCCACTGTGTGTGTGTGTGTGTGTGTGTGTGTACTTGTGAATAATAATGAGCCTCTTACCTTAGCAGCATGTGGCAAGAGTTGCAGGAGGTGATCCTTTCAAAGGTGTGCATATTAAAGTCATGGAAGTTGTTAGTGGCGTTCTCAGGACGAATGTTGGATCTAAATAAGACATAAGACATGAAAAACATTTTTTACAGATCATATTTGCTGAAGAATATTCTGAACACAGGGTTGCTATATTGTGTGTCTTGTAATTATGGTAATTTATGCTCCTCATAATATGTATGTATTTCATAAAATGCATCTTGGTATATTTAGTATCTAGAGTGATCTATAAGTCATATGACTTGTTCTGTGGAGCACCATGTTCAGTGAGGTGTATAAAGCATGATGCACTTAAGTGTTATGTGACATGTTTTGATTTTTAAGGACTGGCACTGGTCGACACCTCGCTAGTTAACAAACATTTTCTAAATATTACTTTACTATCACTATTTCTTACGTTAAATTCAGACAAAACTTAAGTTCAGTCAGGAACATTTTCGTCAAAGGAAACTTTATTTCCATTTGCAGTATCATATTTGGCGATATGGCTCTGTTCTGGGGCCCCTCTGCCTTAAGGCTGAGAGCGCACCTGTCTGCCCTTCCACGTGCAAATGGGGAAAGCCTGAGGCAGCGAGAGCAACCCTCCCTGCCCTTCCATGTGCCTACATGGAAAGCCTATTTGTGATGTGTGATATTGGGGTTCATAAATATAAATATAAATATAAATAAAACTTTTTCAACTGATCTTCCAAAAATCAACTTGCAGGAAGAATTCTGATTGAAACAAGTCGTCCACAACACTAAAGCACTTTTAGGTTACTATGCTTTCATGCTAATGCAGTTCAAGCAGGGACCTTTCCATGTGAATTAAGGGTGCTCTGACTTCCAGGATTCGGGAGTGAGCTGCCAAAAACAATTGCAATCATGAACGGCGATGTCGGAAATCCAGAGGACAAACAATAAACAGAGATTTCAAAAGAATAATGCAAATCTCCTTGTTTCTTGCATTCAAAATGCAGCGTCAGCTAAATCGCAAGAGCTGGAGCGTCCTTGAATGCACCATCGAGTTTTCAATATAGTGTCTGCTTATGTACTTGCCTTACTACATGACGATAATGTAACCTGTGGTACGAAGTAGAAAATCCGTACATGGTGAATCTTAGAAGGGCTCATGGTAAATATTTAAAACCAGTATTGAAAGCTCCCATAACACTGACAATACTATACTGCATGTGCTGTTCTCTGCCCCTGAACACATCTAGCATAAATAATGGAAGAGTTAAGACTCAAAATCAGAATGAGCAGTTGGGCTTAACAGTAAAATAAACACTGACCGCTGTTGTATGTTGTACTATAAGTTGCAGATGAGCCCCAATGAATGAATGAAATTAAGTTGCCCATTTTGTTGCACTTTTCAAACAAAAAAAAAAAAAAAATTCATTTATAATTGCAGCCAACAAACTCTTCCAAGGCAACAGTAACATTTCACTGATACGGTTCTTTGAAGTGGGAAGGAGAGAATTGCAAATAGACAGGCAAGGTCTGCTTGAAGTGAACACAGAAGTGTTCTTGGCCCCTTGGGACATGGATGAATGTGTGTGTGTATGTGTGTGAGAAAGAAAAAGACAGACAGGTTTATGCCCGAGTTTGCCTGTAGCACAAAGGCCTGTTTGTTTTGAACTGAAGAGGTCTTTCCTTTGTTTTCGGTGTTGTGATAGCCAGACGTGATGACATTGTTGCATAAGTGCTTTTTACCTTAATATGCAAGGGTGCTGTTTTTGAAATTCAAATAATTAGTCAAACTGAGCTACGACATGTTCTCCAGAAAATGGGACAAACAGCGCTGAGATGGAACAAAGTGTCAAAGAAGAAAAAAAAACCTTCAGTGGTATCCTCTCCTCTGTTCTGGGGTCAACCAATATATCTGCTTTGTAGGCACGATTGTTGTTAACTATAAATTGCATACCGCTGACAAGAAAGAGGGTCCACTTTTACTGTGGAAATAATCACACTGAAAGATACTGAATACATCGCTATGCCATGTTTACAACGACAACAAAAACCTCATAAAACCTCCTGAGCTTCCTTTTTCTTCCGATTTGACTTTGAGAGTATGATTGTCCTCTTCCAGCTCCACTATTTCTCGTCCGTTTAAAGATGTCCGTTGCAACTTTGCACAGTCCGCTGAGAGGTAGCTGCTTCACTTTTAAGGACTTTAAAACTCAGAATGACTTCATCTACTGTCTTCTTCTGACTTTCAAGGATAGAGCGCTCACTCACTGCCGTTCACGCGACAGTTTGTCTTTACTTTAGATTTTTTTGCCTTCAGTATGCGGAGCAGCATCTGCCCACCCCTCGTGACTGCTGAATCTTAGTCAAGCAGCAAACAGAGGAACATAAAGGCGGCACGTGAGAAAACAACTGTTCACAGATCAGCTATTAAGCGTCGCTGTGGGAGCATGTGATTGTCTGGCAATGCCTTTGTATTCTCGCAGCTTGTTAATGCAGCCCCAAAAGTTAATCAACCAGAGCCCCTCTTTTTTTCAGTCTCACCGCACTTCATCTTACTAATCCTCCTCTTCACATCCTGTTAGGTCCTGTTGCTTTCCTTTGGAGCTTGAAAATGTTATTTCACAGATTTTTTTTTCTCTTTTCATCATTCTCTTTTTTCTTCCCCAGTTTTTATTTCTAAATTTTCAGTGTAATTGCACCTGCTTGGGAGCCCCACTGCTCTTTACGAATCTGTCACTGATGTCACTGGCAGTTTATTCAGAGATTCAGAGAAGTTTGCTGAGATGTTACAAGCGGCATGGTAGTACAGTGGTAAGCATCACATACCCAGGGTGGGGGATTCGAATCCTGGGGTGTATCCTACCTGTGTCAGTGTGGGTTTTCCGGGTACTCCGGTTTGCTCCCGCAGTCCAAAGACATGCAGGTTAATTGGTGACTCTAAATTGCCCAGTAGGTGTGAATGTACCCCGCCTCTCGCCTAGTGTCAGCAGGGATAGACTCCAGTCTCCCGCAACCCCCAGCAGGATAAAGGGTTACGGAAAATGAATGAATGAATGAATGAATGAATGAATGAAACAGAACTCTGCCTATTTATTTTTAAAAAAGATTAGTCCAAATTGAAGCAAAGACAGATTTGGCCCTGTCTTTACTCTTGATTCCCCAAAATGCGACTCGACAGCATCTTTTGTTAGACGCTCTGTGTCTGGTAAACGCGCACATCTTTCAAACTCAGCACCTTTAATTTATAATGAAGGCCTTCTGTTAAAAAATTACAGCCTCCGGGACCAAGCTGGTGTAATCCCGACAACATCACTATGACATCATCACGGTTGCTTTTTATTTTTAGACTTCACAAAGCTTCTCCCGAGCCAAACTGTCTCCTGCTGTACCTGTTGTATTATTTGTATGCGTGTACTATTCTGCTTTACTGTGCAACATGTCAACATCTTCCTGGGGCCGGTTTCATGAGACAAATTCCTGCAAGTCTCGGTCATGATGAATACAGCGATTCTTATCTCATTGAGCTTTATTTCATGGTTTGAAATGCAGTGGCAGCCCCAAGAAATTTTTAATAGGGGTGGCCAGATGTGGCCAATGAAAACCTTGGCAATGTAAAAGCCAAAACTGAATTTCAGGGATTTGATAAAGCTCAAGACATTAGGAGATTTTGAGTACCACGAGTAACCCTTTTTAATGGGTTATATATCTCTATATACATGTTCAGTGACTCATTGCTCTTCAAATAGACTTGTTGTCCTTTTCCATAAAAAGACAAATACACATCTTTAATTTGAAGGGGTGCATTGATTGTGAGGAACAAACCTTGACTGGGATTAAGTCTTAAAGGGATAGTGCACCCAAAAATGAAATTTCAGCCATTATCTACTCACCCATATGCTGATGGAGGCTCAGGTGAAGTTTTAGAGTCCTCACAACACTTGCGGAAATCCAAGGGGAGAGTGGGTAGCAACACAACTCCACCTAATGGAGGCTGACGGTGCCCCAGATTCAAACATCCAAAAACACATAATTGAAACCACAAAATATCTCCATATTGCTCGTCCGTAGTGATCCAAGTGTCCTGAAGCCCCGACATAAAAAGTCTGGAAAAACGTCATTTGAACTCAGTTTGTAGCCTCATTGTAGCCTGTAGCTCTAACTGCCTCTCTGTACACTGCGTTCAAGTGTGTGCGCTTGTGCGCGAGACCAGCGAAAGCACGTGAACACACATGAAGGCGGTGCCCATGTCTCACAGTCTCACGCAAGCACGCACATGTGAGCTCGGTGTACAGAGAGGCAGTTAGAGCTACAGGTGGAGTTGTGTTGCTACCCACTCCCCTCTGGGATCTCCGCAAGGGATGTGAGGACTCTGAAACTTCACCAGAGCCTCCCTCGGCATATGGGTGAGTAGATAATGGCTGAATTTTCATTTTTGGGTGCACTATCCCTTTAACAAGTTTAGGCGAGAGTTGTGGGTACCCATAGAACCCATTTTCATTCAGATATCTTGAGGTGAGAGGTCAAAGGACCTTTAAAAATGGCTGTGCCAGTTGTTCCCTCGCAAAAATTTAGCCTACATTTGGAGTGTTATTTAGCTATTTTGTAGGGAAGCTAGCATGACATGGTTGGTACCAATGGATGCCTTGGGTTGTCTAGTTTCTGAAGATATCCACGCTTACTTAAAAGATCAGGGCACTTAACCTTCTTAAAGACAGTAAGTCGGCCTCCAAGTATTTTTGCCAGGGGTTAAAGGGTTATATTAGGGTAGCCATGGCCCTCCATTGGGGGCACCACTGTTGAAATGAGGTACTCCTGGTCCATTACTGTACATTAAACACCTTCATACAACTACTTAGCTAACATGCCACATCTTTTCAAAACTGTTTGTGGTAAAACATCTTCACTTTTCTGATTTCAGACTTAAACCATCAACAGTTCACCTACTTTTTCCCATTGTTGTGTGAATTGTGCTTTAGACCTTGATAGCTGCTGCTACACTTACTGTAAACCCAATACAACTCGTCTGGCCTGTGTGTGTGTCAACTCTGTGACAGCCAGTGGTTTGTGGGGTTTCTATCTGACAATTAGTCAATCATTCGTCTTTCTTCGCTCTACAAGTGAAATACTTTAGTTCCATTTGTCATTCTAGACAGTCAGTTTAAGTGACTTTGGATCCAGATCAGGTGGCGGACTGGTTGATGCAGTTTAACAGCATACACTTGAAGCTGGAATCAACATGACCAATGGTGTCCTGTGAGTACAGCGTGCTGAATGATTCAAAATGCTGTTTGTGTGCTTTTAAAAGCGTGTGTGCAACTTATGATCTGGTAATCTTTCTGTCGCAGTGCCGCCAGCCTCCTCATAAATTATCAAGTAGCCTAACTTGAATAACAGGACAGGCCACGTGCACTTCGACGCTGTGACAAAATGCGGCTAAGACAAAGAGACACACACTCTTATCATGCTGTGATGCACGAGCACACACTCACATGGCCATGCCAAACTGCTCCAGCCACTTCTTTTTCAGCTCTTTGGTCTTGAAGAAGAATTCAAAGCCATTCTGGCCCTGGTTATGAGTGAGGTAGAATCCGTGGGACCACTGCAACAGGAAAGAAAAACACACATTTGAGAAAATAAAACAACAGTGAATAAATAAATTGAGGGTTTGAGTGAAAGACAAATGGAGCAGGAGGGGGCAGGAGCTGGAGGAGACAGGATGCAGGGAGACAGATGGAGACAAAGAGATGCAAAATGAAAGAGGGATGCCTTGGGGAGAGCAAACACAAAGGCTGAGGGGTTGGAGGGGCGGCAGAACTGACAGACAAAGACAAAACAGAGAGGAAGAGCATGAAGGGGAACAGGAAAAGAGTGTGCGGTGGTTGTGCCATATAACTGCTGGGCAACAGACAGCATGCACAGACCCAAGTAGTGAGTGAGCCTGTAATCAGCCACCATTACCCACTTCAAAGGCTAAATTTTAGTCTATTAGCCTCTGTGTCAACACATGCCTCTGTTTTTTAGATGGCATCACTAAACAGATGCTTGGGAGATGCACTTTTTATGGCTCCTAGGTGAGGTTTTAAACTTCCAGCACTCGGCTCTGAAGGCTAAAAACATGCCAAGCTCACAGTGCTGTCAGGGAAGCGCAAAGGCTCATCTTTTCTATCGAAAGAAAAGAGAAAAGGAAAGCAGCGCTCTACAGAGGCATTCCCAGTGGACACCAAGCCTTAACGCTCAGCAAAGATATCTCTAGCAACCAATTTGTAAAGAGAAGGAGAAGGTGTTTGTCTGTCTCTCTGTCTGTCAGTTTAGGCCTTTTTGCTTGGTTTATCTTTGGAACTTAAAAGCATAGCACATCCAGACTGATAATATCAAAACACTCTTTGTTGATCTTCCTAAAATATAATTACTCTGACACTTGGTGATGTACTTTACCTCATGGGTCAATCTGCCCAGGTTCAGAAACTGTCCTCACCCATTATACGACCCCGTACGTCATTTGTACCAGCAGCTTATTACAACCCGTATTGTTATGGTGTGCACTTTCTCTGAAAGCTTAAGGACACAATGGAGCAGTACCACCAAAAATGGTGGGGTGAGTGTTGCGTGGTTCAAGCAAGACACGACTATAGAAAATGGCAAAGACATTTTAAAAATGGCGTAACAGAACTAATTGGTAGTATAAAGAATTCTTCATCCACATGTTGCAACGTATTTAATGGCCTCACAGAGCACCGACATGCTACCTCTGTTATAACGCTACGTTAGCTACGTTATTAAGACCTCCTCCACCTTCACCATGTCTGTTGTTGTCATAAACCTTTGACTCTGCCCTCTAGTGCCATCTACTGGGTGTATCAATGCCAACATAAAAGACATATGTTAGTATATGGGCACATTTTCATACTTAAAGGGAGTATAAGTGAGCCTTTACATAATGTAGTTAACTTATGTTTTGTATGTAATGTACGTTAAAAACAAACATACTTCTTGTAACCACGATCGTTAACTTTTCCTTAACCTAACCAAGTCATTTTGTTGCCTAAACCTGACCAAGCTACCACCATTTCACACCATTAACCATGTGTTTAAACTGTGAATGCTTACTGTCATGTCATTTTGGGAGTCACTGGTAAATGGCATATTCTGTCGTTCAGGTATGAGGACGTGTTGATTTCCTGCCAACACTAGGGGCACTAGTTTAGGAGATCCTGTGGGTGGTATTAGAGGGTAGGAACAAACCACTTATGTGGAGATACATGCTGTTGGCAGTGACAGTTTCTTTTGGCCACTTGGGGGCAACACACGCTGTAAACACAACATTGACGTATTATCACCTTTTAAGTTGACATGGTGAACGTGTTTGTGAACAGGAGTTGTGTTTTAGTGTAGTCCAGTATTCACTCTCCTGTTTAGCTCTGTTTTGGTCTCCTCCGACCTCCTCATGGAAAGATCTGGCTCTTTAGCTGCTTAATGCTCTGCGTGTTCAGCAGCTTGTTGCTAACTTTGTCTGTCAGACTAAGGGCCTGTATGCAAACTGTGTTTTTTGCACATAAGCACATACGACAAGCAGCAGCAGTGACCCACCATCCGACACCACCACACCGTGTGGACGGAAACAGAGAGCTCGGCAGTCATGACTGGCTGTTGAAACAGGTGACGTGCTTTAAGCTCTAAAACCAGCCGCGGGCGATTTGACTAATTGAGTTCCAGATGACACCATCAGCCGGCTTGAGTCGATCTCAGATCTGCCACTTCACACCACTGCATCTTTTCTCTGCAATGTTCTGAAACAGTTTCATCTCGTCGCGAGTCTTTGGTCTGAACTGGGCTTAAGTAGCATGCGAGGGGTGCTCAAAAGCACCTGAGATACACAAAGTTCAACTTTTGGAACAGCCATGTGCACCACTTGTCATGTGAGGAGGGACAACCAATCACAGCCAATAAATATCTTTCCTTTCTTCCATAAATATCAGGTTGCAACAAATATGGAGAAGAAGTTGACCATTTTAGCGCAGGTCCACCCAGAACTCAATAACCGCTGGAGGCCTGAAGAAGGATCAGCTCCAAACTTGGGATTGCTGGTTAATAAGCTATGACCTGTCCTGGTTGTGGTTAATTAGCAACTAAAGAGCAATGTGCAAAGGAACTCTGTGACAGTCTGGTGACCTGCCCAAGGTGTACCCTGCCTCACGCCCAATGACAGCTGGATAGGCTCCAGCCACCTGCGACCCTGAAGAGGATAAGCAAGTACGGATATGAATGAATGAATGAATGAACAAATAGCTGAAATATAAGTGAAGTTTTAATTCAATGGCTCACACCATCAGCTACATGAAAAATGTCCGCACATCGTTCCAATGGTCGCACACAGTTTCCTGCTTCTGTGTACAGCGATTAGACTTTAAGGTTATTTGGTTTTACCGCCAGATGACTTGCATGTAAATGTGATTATTTTGTGTCTATGATGAGGGCTGTTATCGCTGCTTACCTCAGACAGCCACTGTCATCTGTGGCATTTCCATAATAAATATGTAATCAAACAAACTGCATCATATCCATCATGTCAGAGGTGAATGATACTGAGGTAGTCGAGGTTGCACAGGAAAAAAATTACTACATAAGCCCATATGGGTCTGAGCCCACTAATGTCTGCTATTTACAACATCATTATTACCCAAATCATTGTTTCCTGGCACGCCTTAGATATCATCCCTCATTATGATTGGCAATATTTTTCACCACTTGGCACTTAGTATTCACTGTGTGTGTGTGTGTGTGTGTGTGTGTAGTCAGACCCAAAGCGAGGTTTAATGATAACACCATCTGGGTGGAGGCAGACTGTTCTAGTCTGACACTCTCAGTATTATGCTGCTGAATGAACAAGACAATGTAAAACATGTGCTGGAACAAGCATGTATCAAATTATTTAAGACTCTTTTCTGGTGATTATTTTGTTGTGTGTTATGAGCCGGAACAATTTTTGCACATGGTTCATTTTAGTAGTACGATAGAGGGCTCGGGGCACAAAAGGCAGCAGTGGGGTGTTGATGGTGGCACAGGTGCTTATAAAATATTGTCAGGAAGCAAGTTAACTCGATTTTTACTCAATTTTATGAACGTGCGTTTATCTGATAAATTGTTATGGCTACTCATTATGCTGAAGTAGCACTGTTAATTGGTTTGTCAGGAGTCCAACGTGGTTTTCTGAGCTTTGCTGACTCAGTCATAAAGAGGCAATAATGGACTCAACAGAGCAAGACTTGCCTCCATTATAGCTGATTGGTTGTTATATGAGATGCTTGTTTTGTTCTTTTATTTCAAAGAATGCAAAGACGTATGATTTGCTGTTATTTTTCACTTCTACAGCAAGAGGGCCAGAACAATGTAGTAAGTGTACTCTAGCTTCTACTTTCCTGATGAGGATAGACATGGCTCAAAGCCCGGGGTGAAATTAAATGTCATCAGAAACTGTTTTAGCTGTTAGAAAATCACTGCAAATCACAGCTTAAATTGAGTTATTGCTTTTTGAAAATGGTGATAACACGCCATAAAATTAAAAGCTAAATGCTCAAGACACATTTTTCTTTTTCCGTCAGTGACCTAAATCAGTGTGGATTCAAAGTGACTCCACCAACAGAGCTAAAGACGCAGCAGCTTCTTTATTCTAGGTAAAAACAATAAAATTAGACGTGCGATTCTCACTTTCTTCTCAGCTGTGATGTATCTGAGGACTAAGAAGTGTTAACTGCAGAAATAAACCATTTGGCTGCCAGAAGCACTAAAAATGTTGTTATTGGATTAAAATTCAAGACTGTGTTTCACTGCATTAAAGTCCTAATGTCAGTGTGCAGCACAACAAGGAAGTGGAAAAACAGGTTTCAATATTTTGAGCAAATATCAGTAATAAATGTGGTCTGCAAGCCTGGGCAGAAACAAACTACCTGTTTTGTTTCTTTTTGACTTGGGCTTGATTTAATTGGGGCTAATGTTTGCTGCATGTCTGAGGTAAAAACATCATCAGTGTGGCCTCGCCAAAAGTGGAATTGAGTTACTCTCTTGGAACAGAAAGGGAAACGTTCACAAAGAGATGTGCTGCTGCCAAAACAACACAGGAAAAAAGGTGAAATGACTGAAAGATGTGCCAATATCTTTTCCAAGGTGATGGCCAGATCTGAAACATGAAAAATGTGTAACTTGGCATGTACGACATGCTGGAGGGGATATTCACCTGGGAGCCCGACTCATGTGCAGTCTGGCCATGTTGCACAGTGCAGTGAGTGAACACATATAAAACATGAACAGTTCCATCATGCAATGTGTATGTTTGTTCTTTTCCTGTTTGAATACGGTATTTCTGTGATGTCATACATCTTTAAAATAGAATTATACAGCTGTAAAAATATCGTGACTTCCTCATGTCACTGCTGATAATCAGGCTGAGTCTTGGGAGGTATTGTGTACATTTACACAGGTGCAACTAACAACATTCATTAGTGGTGGCTGCAATCAATGGTGTACGCTTGCAGCTAAATATAACAGAGCCATGCCTATGAAGACTCTTAGTTACCCAGGAAACAGAGCCATCATTATGTTGTTAGTCAGGCCTGTGCTTTTAAGTTAAAATGCCTGTGGTGGAATAAAGTATATCAACAGACGACCCCATGTGTTGTTTGCACAGCAGCTTATAAAAGTAATGAACATCGTCACTGTTACATCACCCATCGTTTTGTTGAGTTTGGCATTTTGGACATCACCATATTGTTTTTTTTAAAGCCAGAAGTGACCATATTTGGACAAGATGGTGGAGCTGGGGATGAGGGGTGGCTGTGACTAATAGACTATAGCGACGCCTCGCACCAAGCTGTAAACATGTTTATGTCTGCTGTGCTAACATGGGTTAGCCCCCAGTGGCCATCCAAAGAACTGCAGCTTTTCACACTTCTGCGTTAGCTTAATTTTTCAGCCCTAGAGGTTGCTGCTACATTACGACCCATACATTTAATGTCAGGTGTTGACCTCTAGTGGCTGTAGTAACTATGACAGGAGCAAAGGAGGAAGTCGGGTGACGTAGTATAAAGAGTAAAAAAGCATAGGGAGGATGTCGGGGTAGATTGATGGGTCAAACAAACATAGAACTTAGATCCAGGAGCTTGTTGTTCATGTCACTTGTAAACTAAAGTCAACACTGACTTATCAAGTCTGTAACAAACTTGATCTTTTCCTAAAACTAAATTGAGCATAGCGTTAGTTCAGGCAGGACATGATGTCAGGCTCAGCTCACATCCCAGCTACATCAGCTGATCTCAAACAGCCCAATCAACTGATGGAGCAGCTGATTGATGGAAGGGAGTCAGCTGGTAGATCACATGATTCCTTTCTATGCAACCAATTGGCGAATCTCACTCAGGGCGCCCTATTTAAACTGCTCTGGCCTGCCTACTGTTGCTGCTTCCTCTGCAAGCTGCTTTGCAACCCACCTCCCCCCCAGCTCCTCCTTCTCATGCTGTGTCTGACTTGTCAGTGTCATTTCTGTTTGTCATTGATGCTGCTCTGTTCTGTTCCCTGGGGGTCTTTGCTGCTGCTCTCTCTGACGTTGGCTTTCCATGTAGGCACATGGAAGGGCAGAGAGGTTTGCTCTCTCTGACTCAGGCTTTCCTTGTCTGCATGTCATGGTAGTTTTGGTGCCTAAACCTAACCACACTGCAACCTTTTCACAACCTTAACCAAGTGTCTAAAACTTTGACTGTTGTATTTAGGTGTGAGGGTTAATCTCCTGCAACAGTTAGGGCACTAAGATAGGAAACGCTCCTGTGGGTCAATTTTGTGGGTAGGAACAAACCACCTATATGGTCGTACGGGTTGGAGGACTTGTTGAGACAGCCTCATGGGGGTTGATGATGCCACTGAAATACCCCCCACCCCCCTCAAAATGCATTCTTGCTGAGGTAGAAAAACACTGCTGAAGCAACATTCAGACCATTATGGTCATGTTTCTTCAACACCTGAGGATGACTGACCACATCTTATTCTTTGGTGGAGGATACTTTGTACTTAAGCATGCAGAGAAAAAGGCAGCACAGACATAGCTCCTTAGGATGCCACAAAAAAAGCTGAGCAGGGCTATGTCTAAATAGAAATCATATCTGTGTGTGCAGACCTTTCGGTTCTCCTTGTCCGATGTGGGGTTGTTGGTGATCTTGAAGAGGTGCAGGTCGATCACTTCTTTCATCTCATAGTTGTCTCCTCGCCGCTTACAAACAATCACAGCAGCGTCAAACAGGAAGATGTGCCTGCAATTCAAAGAGCGTTGTGTCAAAGTCATTGAAGATATGTATTCATGTTACTGCTGCCCTGTGCATTTTGGGGAAATCATTATCACTAAAAGCTACAATTTGCAATATAATATTAAAACTCTGAATTGTTATCCATTATTAGCCTGTGCTTGTCTTGATCTTTGCGTGGTCTTAACTGAATACCTTGTTACCTGACATTGGACAAGGTCTTGAGACTTTTTTTTGGTGTATTCTGTGTCGGAATTCTGCCACTTGTCTTCACCGACAAGACACACAGGTTTAGTTTCTAACAGCACTTTGGCTAGAAGCAAGACATACTCTGGCAGTTTTCCAACCGCAGCATCTGATTCAAGTTTAACTGCACTCAGTCAGTCAGTGTTTCAGTCAAACAGCCGTCAACCTGAATTCTCACCTGTCCTGTTTAGCCCGTTTGTCCACTGTGGCCACTCGTACTTCCCCATCACCTTTGGGTCTGCCATAGGTACTCAGTCGCTGATTCTACGGAGAAAGAGACAAACAAAGATGGGGGATTGTGATTGTGAAGCACTGTGAAAATGAGATCAGTATCTAATTATTTGGAAGAAACAGGTGGCTTACCAGGTTTTCAATGGATCTCTGATACTGATCTATTTCTCGCAGCGTCTCATTGTCTCGTTTGACTTCATTGACGTACTGAGCCAAGTCCTGTAAACAGATCAGAAAACAAAGTCTTTCCTTTTTCCTTTCCATTTTCTTCCAATTATGTGCTCAGGTCTTTTTGTGCTGTTTTCCTGCCCTTCAAAAGTCACCATTGTCGATGTGAGCTTGTAAATTCCAAGCAGACACAGTATATTGACATTGGGCAGTGAGCAGCCTTTGAGGATTAAAAAATGAGCAAGACTTATGAATGCTGCATTTAGTGGAAGACTTATTTATTTGTGTATGAAATATGATGTTGAATAATGCCTAGAAAAGTGTTTATGCCAAACATTGTGATGTCACAGTGAAGCTGACCTTTGACTTTTTGGATTTAAAATGTTGCAAACTGTGACTGCAGCCAGGCTGGTGCACGGAGGCATACAACCGTGAGGTGGTATTTCTAGTTTATATTAACAACGGATCAAATAACTGTAATGTGAAAGGTGTTGCTCATTGGGATGAACCTGCAGAAACAATCTCCTTCTTTGTCTAGTGAGGTTAAAGTGATGTGAACTGGTCTCGCCATGTGACATGAAAGGCCTGCCTGCAGCCATGTTATTCCTTCAAAGGCCCGAAACTCATGAGCTGTGTTCTTCTCACTTGTTTACAGATTCCCTTGAACAAGAATTTTGTCAAGCTGTTGGTCGAGGCCTTCAGCTAGCATCTGACGCTCTGGGGGTGTGTCCTGCAACATTGGTACTAGTCGGCCCAGGTCAGCTTTTTTTGTGGCCGATTCAGCATGTTGAATTAGAGTCTGAAATGACTTAGCCCGTCAGTGAATGAAATCACTCTGATTGGCAGTTCAGCTCAGTGCACAAGGAAAGAAATGGAAGTGAGGAAAGTAAACAAACGGCTAAAGTCAAGAGGGTGTGAGATCAAAAAGTAAGTTGCTAAAGAAGGTAAGATTTTTTTTAGCCATTGAGCTCTTCAACATAAATGGTTCATAATTGTGCTATTATTTGCTTGTGCATGGTTAATATCATTTGCTCTTTAAAAATCAGGGTGTGTTGTTAGTGTGTCCTCCAGTTTTGCTTTTTTAATGAAAAATACAGATCACCACCACCTGCTGCTATGTAGAGTTATTTCCTGTCACACAGGAGCAGAATGTTCGAGCTGGCTGGTTATTGCCTGTAGTCTGTGCCTGAGACACAGGTGGTGTGAGGCAACACGGCCATCGTCTCCACTAGTTCTTTGATGTCAGTTAGGTGCATCAGGCCTTAAATGGCTCACACTGGGAGACTAACTGTGAATATGTTTGTGTATGAAGCTTTGGGAAAGACCTTCCACTCAGTGCATGCTGGGATATTTGCAGTGTGTGGAAATAAACTGGATAAACGATGATGTACCTTCATGGCGTCCAGTGCCATCCGCAGATTACTCTTGTCAGTGGAATCATGAGTGTGTTTCACCAGCTCCTATTGGACGGAAACAAATCACACACACAAAATATAAGTATGATAACATCCTGTTTGTGTCGTCAAAATGATTGAAAGCATCGCACAGCCAAAGGTAGAAATTGCAGAGGCTATCTGTCAGTCATAAACCAAAAAAAAAACCCTGTAAAAAAAATCATGAACATTGTTATCCTGCTGCTAACATGCACCGCAGCCACAGTCCACACATGAGAAAGTAATGCTTTGGCTCCAGATATGAAATGAAAAAGGTTACTGTGAAAAGAATGCTGTCCTGAAATAAATCAGATACTGTGTGTGTGTGTGTGTGTGTGTGTGTGTGTGTGTGTGCACTCATCTATTGCAGGTGTGTGTGTGTGTCTAAAATTGCTTGCCAGTGCCTGGCTGCAGCGTAAACAAGACATCTAGACCTCAGCAGTGGAGGATAAGGGAGGATGCCATGCATGTCCTTCATACAGGGGCCCATACTAACTGTGTCCACACACACACACAGACACTCACACACACACACACATACACACACTGAGTCGCTAAGGGAGATATATATGTCTGCTTGGCACTGCTCAAATCTCTGGTGTCAGTCAAGCTCAACCTGGGCATTATTATCACTAGCAAGACGACAGAGTCCTATTTATCAAGCCCTGCTCCCACCTCCACACATCCACAGAGATACAGAGGAAGGGAGTGGTCACACTGATAGCCGGGACCATACATGATGGACTCATTGAGGGAATCGTGTTGTGGTGTGTTCGGAATGATGAGCGGAGGCAGCGAGGAAGAAAGAGAGGCAGATTGATGACAAAAAAAGGGAGAAAGAAAGAAGCAGCAAGAGAGAGGAACTCGGGAAGTGAGAGGAAGTGACGAGACATTTGTCGTACAGATTCTGGCTGTCACCATGTGGGATGCTTTATGTGGTGCAGCTCGCTATCAGCCGCCTGCTTCACAGGGATCTCGGCCCAAAGCGTGCAATCACTTTATTGACACAGGTTTTTTTTTCTTTTGGTGGTACATTTGTGTCACATGCAAACAGGGTGAGATCACAAGGTTTCAGAGCTGAATATAGGTTTTTATTATTAAAAACTCCTGAAGGAGCTCATTTCTGAACAAGTACTATTATTGCTTCACTTATTTTCCGTAACTGCTTATCCTGTTAGAGGTCACAGGGATGCTGGAGCCTATCCCAGCTGACATTGGGTGAAGGGCAGGGTCCATCCTAGACAGGTTGACTATCACAGGGCTGACACATAGAGACAGACAACCCTTCACACTGACATTCACACCTACGGACAATTTAGAGTCACCAATTAACCTGCATGTCTTTGGACTGTGGGAGGAAGCTGGAGTACGCAGAGGAAACCCACGCTGACAGGGGGAGGATTCACTCCAGGATTCGAATCCCCCACCCTGGGTTCCTGAAAGCGCTAACCACTGCACCACCGTGCCGCCTGTAACATCTCAGCGACTTAAATTTGTTCCACACCAACATCCTCCTGCATTTCCTGTAGCCTGAGCTGAGATGCCTGTCTTTGGACTGTGGGAGGAAACCGGAGTACCTGGAGAAAACCCACGCTGACATGGGGAGAACATGCAAACTCCGCAAAGGAGCCCTCAGTAACCTTCTTGTTTTGAGGCAACAATACTAACCACTGCACCACCGTGCCGCTCACAATTATTATTACTATCTACGGAAGTGAAGAAGGGCCATAATAATTTAAACTTTAAGAACAACTGAATACTTAATTGTAAAATTTAGCTAGTACTGAATATGCGTTGTTAACATTTAGATCCTATCAAAGTCACTTTGAATTCCACTCACAAATTTCCTGAAGACTTTTCAAACGCATTTTTTTTGTTTTGTTTTCAGTAATTCTGGTCGAAAAGTCATGTATGCAGGGTTTCCAGTCTCGACTCTTGGAAGCCCAAATATGAGAGATGGAATTTTTTATTTTGAATCATCAGGTTAGAAACTTTAATATAGTTATTTGAATATTGGACTCTGTGATTTTCTGTCTATAGTTGTAGAGCCCAAATGCTTAAAATCTTTAACACGGCATGACTCAAATCTACCTGCTGATTACCTTTCCCAACCAAAGAGGGGAAACGACATAAAATCAGACAGGCACTTGTCAAAGTAAAATATTTCAAAAATTACAATTTCAAAATCAAATATTCAGTATTAAATTTTGATTAAAATCAAAATCTTTAAATTCCTTTTTTCCCCTTTTAGCTTCCATATAAAGTCTCCTAGGCTCCAGCCCCTTCGCAACCCCTAACAGGATAAGCGGTTACAGAAAATGAATGAATGAATGAATGAATGTATATAGGAACCCCTTATGCATGACGAGAAGGAAGAGATGCCCCCGTCACCTCCACACACACCCTCACACACATATACACACAAATCTTTTCAAAAGGAGAAATGCTGCTGCTTCTCTTTTCATTACTGTACAGAACATCACAGCAAACCCACATGAGCATTATACACAGACCACCTTTAACCTCTTTGATGTATCTTGTGCAACTGCATGTGTGTGTATTAGGCTAAAAGGGTCATTCTCACTCACATATACTGACACACACATACTCACATGATTTACCCTGAGGAAATGCAGCTTCAGTTAGCTCTATAATGGAGCTATGTTACAAATGCATGTCAACATTCAATCATGAATATATCATGTAGTCAATTTAAAATGCATCATAGAACAAACTCTTGGATCATTAAAATGTTTCCCTTTTCAATGACACGTCAGGAACGTCTCCCTGACTTTGTCCCCGAGTTTCCTCCGCCTCAGCTCAGCATCACATCCACATTCTCTCCACTCTACCTCAGAGATACTTCACCTCTCCATCTGTCTCTCTTTAGTTGTTTGTCTTGTTCTGTCTGCCGCTCTCTCTTTCAGTCCTCACTTCACTTTATCTATTTTCTCTCCCCTCCTTGTTGATTGTCTCGATCAGATGACTATTATTTGCGGGTCATTTCAGACTGAGAGCCATAAAGAAGCTACAGAAATAGACGAGAGGAGCCTGAAGGACGAAGGCAGGGGACGGGGACACAAACGTGGTGAACAGCACCACCCAGTGACGGCTTGTCATCTTGTGCTCATGAAGCCTAATTGGAGCCTTTGATGAATTGAGAACTCCCTGATGGGGCTGTGTCATTCACTGTCGTGTACAGTCGTGTATAAAGTCAGAGAAGACTTTTAACTTGAAGTTTGTGTCCGGCTTTGATCATTCACAATGACAGAGACTGACATTATATACGGCTGTGAAGAGTTTTGATGGAAATATAAGGTGATATAATTAAGTATATTTCCTTCCAACACTGTGCACAAGAAGCTGGTGTGATAAGATGTCAACACTTATTTAATTTAAAATCCTGCTTGTCAAATATTACTTAATTGGAGAGGACAGATGTATTATAAGCAAAATATACATTTATTTTATTCTGTTGGGTGTTCAAATTATAAAAATACATTAATAATTTATTTGTTGATCAAGTGTTTTGTGTGTAAAATCTTAACCTGCAAAGTAATTAGTAACTTTAGCTGTCACATAAATGTAGAAAATATCATAAAATGGACATACTGAAGCAGTACAGTAAATTTACTTAGTTAATTTCCACCACTGATGATGTATTCTGTTGCAGTTTTATACTGTAAATACTTTTTAACAAAGTTAAGGAGAAACAGATGCCATTTTTATGTCCAAGAAGGTAACAGAAGGTAGAAGTGATGCTGCCGCTTGAAGAACATGAAGCAACACTTGGAGATCATGATCAACACATTTACTATATATAAAATCTGGAGTCTGTAAATAAATGCATATAAATAATAAGATAAATATAAATAAATCTTTCCCCATGTGCTCTGGTTTGCTGGTTGGGGTGTACAGTTGCAAAAGTTAAGTCGAGAGAAGACTGGGAAACAGTCGGCTCAGCCTTATTGGCTGCTAAAAGAATGACACTGTTGAACTGGAAAATTCGGAGGCAGCATGTTCCTCAACAGAAGCTTTGTTGCTTGAGTTCTCCAGTCAAATAGCTAATGTGATCAGTGACACAATTTTTTGAGGTGGGACCAAATATGGAATTGTGTTTCAACATGGTATATTTGAAACTCTGTTAAGCTGAGACTGAGCAGCCCTGAGCGAAATATTCCGGACTTTCTGGTTTTCCGTATACGTGTCACGTGCTCCTCAAGATATATGAATTTATTTATGAATTATAGGGCATAGTGCTGTAAACCCCACTTTTATGTCATTTGTTGTCACATAATGTGTTATTGTATTATTTCATACCTCTTGTTGCTGTCTTTGTTATTGTTGTGGTTGCCGTATGTCTACGTGTTGTCCTTTTTTTGTATGTCTATAGTGATATGAAAATCTAAATTAAAAAAAATATATAAAAAATCTGGAGTCTAGATTAATTCAGGTTAATGTTTGATGACTTTCTATGCAATCGTTTTGTGTTTGTTGAGCACCTTTTAAAAAAACACTAACCCCATGTGTCCCTGTTTTCAGCACAAACTCAGCTATAAATCTGACATATTACTTTGTCAAATCAACAAAGTATAAAGCAGCCAGAAAAACAAAAATTAACTAACAAGACAAAAAAAAATCTATGGACAAATTTTCAATGATAATCACATATTACGGAACCATTAAAGGTGGAAAAACATATTGTTTAAGTTTTTAAACACACAAATACAGCAGAAAAATGTAAGAAATAAAATTACATTACAGTTTATTTAGTCGTTTTTGTGTCTTTTATCATTAAAACCCCATTTATGCATGTAAACTACAGAAAATATTAATAATTGAAAGTTTAAAAAAATCTATTAAATGTTATGGTCTATGTTATTGGAATTTTGGTGTCATAGAAAAATATCTTTGATTCTGTTTCATATTCAAGGTTCTGCTTACTATATTTTATGGTTTATAATTAGGTGTTCTTCTTTCAGTCTTTCAACCTCCTGTTCGGCAACATAAGGCTAAGAATTAAAAAAAAGACAAACAAAAAAACAAAAAAAAAAAACAACGAAAATTGTGATTTTTTTTTCCCAATTTGTTTCTAAAAGATAAACATAAAGTCATGTTTACATAAAGAAAACACACAATGTGTTCACAGGTGAGCAGGTGGACTCAAAAGGGTTTTAAACATTTGTGCAGATAAACTATCTGAGTTACCTGGTTTTCCAAACTTTCACAGCACTAATTGGAAGGCTTGGTCCTTACACCATGATGACAGGACAACTGTATGACTACATTAGAGCAGAAATAGTATCAGGTAGGTTGTAGTACTGTACCTGCAGCAGGAGGTGATACTTTAATACCCGCTGCATAGGAACCACCAGCAGATCCCTCAGTGTGAACTTGCCGTAGTTGGCTCTCTTTGAACATTCCTGTACGAAGACGACAAAGAAAGCAAATCTTAAAAATGATAAAGTAAAGCAGCCTGTGACGGAGCAGTGTTTATTGCGTATTGGGTAAATGTTGAAACATCTTCCAGGAGTCTCAATGAGCGAGCTATTAGAGCTTAATAGAAACTATACAGTCATTTATGCCGTCAGCTGTGGTGTCATCACTTGCAATGCCTCAGGCGCACACTTGAGGGCATTATCTGACCACTCTGAGGTGATGATGAGAAATGAACACTTGTCACTGTGGCACTAAAAACTCTCTTACCTCTAGCTTCATGCGTACGTCCTCTCTGTCTTTGCAAATGTCGTCCAGAGTGGCGATGGCTGTCTCCACATGGCTGCAGTATTTCCCATAGATCAACAACCTGGGACAGATCAAACACATGCAGCAGGAGGACTGAGGAGGAAGCCAGGCTACCTGCACTTCTCTGTAAACAGTATCTGAGACTTCAAAGGACACTTTATAATGCTTTTTACATACATAATTTATTCTAAGAGCTTTACAGAAAATGTAAGGGCTTATGTGCACGCTGGAGGAGAATAAACTGAGGTTTCTTAGTGTACCTCTCTTTGAAGGTGACGAAGATCTGGTAAAGGTTCTGGGCACTTCTGTGGTGGACTGAGTCTTGGATTTCCAGCAGTAAACATTTGTGAACTTTAACCAGGTCCTGGAACACAACAACAAACATCCTTTAATGTCTATCTACACCAGACGTACTGCAACTAATGAGTATTTTCATTATCAGTTCATGTAAAGAAGATTTTCTCGATGAACCCACTGATTATTTGGTCTAAATGTAATAAAACAATGAAAAGTGCAGCCATCAAATTCTTTGTTTTTTTCGATTAACAGTCCAAAACACAAATATATTTGCTTTATTATCACAAACGACAAACAAAAGCAGCAAATCCTCACAACGAGGAAAGCAGAATTAGGAAATGTTTGGTCATTTCCAAACAGTTGAAGGTTGTTTTTCTGTGTATCAACTAATATACTAATCAGTTCAGCTCAACTGTCATTTGAAACCGAATATTTAAATGGCTGCATATGATATGACACAATAACCATTTGTATAAGTAATGTGACTACTCCTTTTAACAGGAAAGGTTAATGTGTCATCTCTGTTTCCTGTTTTATTTTGCTAACCATTGTCTCGTCTTGTTCCAGACCCCACTTCCTGTCAAGTTTCCCGCTTTTGTGATTATTTGCTCCGCCCTAATATGTTTCACCTGTGTCTCATTGTCTTAGAGGATTTAAGCTCTTGTCTTCCCCACATTTGTTGCCAGATTGTCTTTACCTTTGAGTGAGAGTTTCAGTGTTTTCCTGTCAGTGTTTCTTGTGAGTATGAGTGTGCGAGACCATTTTTGCCTCTGAGACTGATTAAAGACCCTGAACATTTATCCAAGGCTTTGAGACTGCTTTGTGAGTCCATATCCAGTTTGTACTTCACAACGCTACACTTAACCTTAAACCTAGACAGCAGATCCAACTTTTCTGTTTCTTCAGGTGTGCTAAAGGTGGCTCAGTGGATGGAAATAACAGTTGGTCTGTCAGTCCATGAGGCTGACGTTTTGAGTAAAATGTCTCCATGTGAAATTTGATGCAGACGTTCATCTCTCTCTCACGATGAACTGTAATAAACTTGGTGATCCCTGACATCATCATCAGCTCACAATTCGACTTTGTCAAATACTTTGCTTCAACACAAAATACTTTCAGAGCGAAAGACATTCCCATTACCTTGTGTTAGCACTGTTAGCACTGTCAATGTGAGCATGCATAGACTGTATAAAAGAAGTGGCAGCAGCTAATGTGACGTCACGCCAATGGTTCGCAGACTGTCGCTGCCCGATTCATACCCGAAAACTAGATTCATTCTACACGTGTGGGTTAAGTTTTCACCTTCAATAAGGGTATGTGACCTGAACAAATCGGGTTTAAGGTAAGGGCCAGGGTTATGTAAGGTGGAAATGCCTTGGATTCACATTTCTAAGCCTCTATCCTGATTTCCATGTCGCTGTGATAGCAATTTGTCAATAACAAGGTAGCCACGCCTTGAAGGACTAGTGACTGAGACCATAAACTCATTAAGAGAATGTTTATTGAGGTAATAAATCAAGTGAGAAGTGGGGTCATTTTCTCACAGACTTGTAGGCTGAATCCAAACATCTGGACTTAACCACACTTGCAGTCTTGCAAACTTTGAGGACACTGGGAAGTCTGGGAGTGCTGAGTGCTGTCCAACTCCTCAATTAATCCAGTCCACAAGGGGCCTCAAGCGGACTTTCACTGAGTTATATAACCCACAATTCATTGCAATACAAACGTGATGTTGTGTTTTTTTCAATTGGCAAAAATTCAATTGCCTATTGAAAGGCTAATTGAATTGTGTAGGCTAGAAATAATGTTCAGCCACATCATGATATGTATACGTATAGGCTGTAGAGGGACTGAAAATGCATTTTATTATTGCAGCCTATCAGTCTGTGTAGTGAAATAGGCTACAAAATTGGCCGAAAATACAACAAAAGAAGGTTTCTATTGTCAGTAATGCCCAATGTATTGAGTTATTGTTCTGTCCTTATTGACAAACATTTGTTTTTGAACACATGTAGCCTGGTATACAGAGTCGCCCCCTGCTGGCCATTAGAAAGAATACAGGTTTATGGCACTTCCACATCGATTTGATTTTTCAGACCCCGAGGCATCATTCAGTTTGTTTTTTTTAAGGTCTATGTGAGCATGTTAGCATGCTGACGTTAGCATTCCGCTCAAAATACTGTTGTGCCTAAAGGTGCAGCCTCACAGACCTGCTGGCCTGGCTGTAAAGTCTTAGTCATGTTAACAATTGCAGTGCCTTTAACACACGTTATGTGTTGGATGTGTTACATTTCATTGGCACATAAAAACAGCCATGACAGTGTGGCAAATTGACAATGTGGTATTCAGTCGTCATTAATATTTCACACTTGTGCTGTTTCCACTGCGACAAGTCAACACGTCTTCAGTGAAAGAGGCCCATCAACAGAGAATGCTGTGACCCCAGAGTTGACTATGCAGTTGGATCATTACACTGTAATGACTTACCGGAATATTCACGAACACCTTTTCCATCTCGGCCATGGACAGAAACATGGTGAGGGGCGTCATAAAGTGCTGCAGCAGAGAGAGAGAATGTTAGAGAATGAAGCTCGTCCCCTCCAGAGTAAGAGTGGGAAAGTCATTTTGTAAGAAGCTATTATATTATGGGGCCAAGTTGCAAAGAGCTGCAGTCAGCAAAAACAAGGAGGACTGTCTGGGTCACGACAATAATCTCATTTTCAGAGTTTGCAATTTAATAATTTCCTCTCAGAAAGCTCCCGCCGTATAGTCACCTCTACATCTCAAAGGAGCGGGCGAGCACAAACTAACTTCCAGCATCCACTTCATATCGAAACTCATCTACTGAGTATTCCGCTGGGAGAGCAGGCAAGGTCTTTTTCCAGACATGAACGTACACAAGAGGGAGAAGACAAGTAGCCGTGGCTGGGGGGTGAAAGACGGCGGGCCTCCCACAGTCCTGTAAAAGTGCAGGGTAAGGTGGAACACGTCCACGACAAAACGGGCTTTTCTCAGAGTTTGTTCTGAGCAGAGCTGGGAATACTCATTACCCACTTCTAATTTCAAAAATAAAAATATGTTCTCTCCCTCATCTCTCATTGGGAGAACAGATTTGTTACACTACTCATTATTTTTTCTATTATACCCCAAATTACAGTCAGTCAGTTTCACAGTTTCTCATGCTGCAAGTGATAAGGGGGCCAAATTGATTTCTAGAGCTCTTGTCATGCTTTTACTGCATAAAATCAATGGAGTGGGACTTTTTCCACCCAAAGAAAGTTAACTTAACTTTCATGTTTGACCCACTGTAGTTGAGTGTGGGCTCACATTACCTTAGAGAATGGAAACTGAATCACTGTATTTCAGATATTTGGCTTGAATAAATACATTTGATTGGTAATTTACATTATTTCTGATCTTGAAATAATGTAGTTATTATGTATGTAGTTATTATTGTGATAAGCAACATTACTGTTCATTCAAACCAACTCTGTCCTCAGTTTCAGATGAGGACAGGAATTAAATCTGACAGGAGAGCTGGTAAAATAAATGATGCATTAATACATTTTTGCGTTGTGCGGTATGGTGCAGTAAGGTAAGATGCGGTGTGGTAAAGTTAGGTAAGGTGTAGTAAGCTGTAGTAAGGTTAAGTATGGTATGGTAAGGTAAGGTGTGGTAAGGTAAAGTAAGGTAAGGTGCAGGAAGGAAAGGAAAGGTAAGGTAAGGTGTGATAAGGTAAAGTAAGGTAAGGTGCGGTATGGTGCGGTGCGGTAAGATGCGGTGCGGTAAAGTTAGGTAAGGTGTAGTAAGCTGCAGTAAGGTTAAGTATGGTATGGTAAGGTAAGGTGTGGTAAGGTGCAGCAAGGTAAGGTGCAGCAAGCTATGGTAAGGTTAAGTATGGTATGGTAAGGTAAGGTGTGGTAAGGTAAAGTAAGGGAAGGTGCAGAAAGGAAAGCAAATGTAAGGTAAGATGTGGTGCAGTAAAGTAAGGTAAGGTGTGGTAAGGTACAGCATGTGCAGTAAGGTAAACTAAGGTAAGGTAAAGTCAGGAAAGAAAGGTAAGGTAAGGTAAACTTTAATGTCCCTGAGGGGCAACTAGTAGATAGTGGGTATACTCTCCTATGTATTCCAGTGGCTTTTTGGCTGATAGATGGGTGTACTGTAAATGGCCAGAGATATATAATATAATACACCCTCTACTGCTCATCACCCAAACAGGTTCAGGACCCACTGATCTAAGGAACATCAGTAAGATTTCCCAACAAATCTACCCACATATTTGACCACACACCACTGACTTTCCAATAACCTGTTACATAAAATCTAAACTCTTCTACATGTGTTCGTTTCTAGGTAACATCGGTGTATAACAGCACACAAACATCTGCTTAAAATCACAGCAAAAATGTTCAGCACAGATCGCTGTACTATGATCCACAGTGTCATTACTAAGTGACAAAAACAGTCAGTACCTTCTCTATAGACTCCAGGGTCTCAGTGTATTTCTCCTCTGTCTGTTTGATCTCTGTTAAACAGCAACTCCTTATGTCAGTCTCTGCTTGCTTCTGGAACGCCTACACACACACACAGACACAAACACACACACACACACACACACACACAGGACTGTTACTATGTGTCAGCACTGTGGGCTGACAAACTGTTGAGTCTTCAACCAGATGTAGTCTGTGCAACCCTTTGAGCGAGGTCAACAAAGCATTTATAATGTGAGAAAATATACAATCAACATTATCAATTTCAAACAGGAAATATAAAAGGACAACTAATGTTAAGGTTTAAGCTTAAATCTTAAATTAAAAGAAGGCTGATACCAAGGTTGATACTGATAGAAAGCAGTTGTTCATCAGGTTGGTACTTAAAGACTTCACAATTTCACAGCCTCCAAAAAAGGCAACAAGAAAGAATTTTTGGGATTTCTTTTTAGCTAAGACACTGTGCGCTAAAGCTACAGCCAGCAGCCAGTTGTGTTCCGTTCACGTGAAATCAGGCAGACAGTACACGGCAATCATTTAGTGAAGAGCAGGACAGTAACATCAGGTGAGGCCAGCAGAGAATACTGGCGACGGTGACGGTAGGCAGCATTGCCATTCAGAGTAAAAATACGACATGTGCCATCTGGACATTACTATAATAATTACAAAAAATAATAAACACAAAATAATTGCAATGGATATATTTTATTTCATTCTTTGTAAATAATATGTCATTATTGCAACATACGGACACGCATGTTTAGTGGTATCATCCTGGAATTCCTTCGGTCTGTTTGCTTGTTTATCCATGCCATCCAGAGAGTGTTCTGCCTGCCGTCTACCATCTGCCAGATTCCATGTGAAGCATTTGGGGGCGTACACATGCCCTCGAATATATTGTTTTTAATGTAGATGCATGCAGGCGCGCTTAAACACCAAAGTGATGCCAGAGCAATGCCAGAGCGTCGCACACGCATTCCCTGAGCACCTATTTTTCAGGGCACGACGGCATGTCATGTAATCAGGACCAACCAGTCACTGCCGACATAATATAACGTCTTGATAAATAAAATAAATAAATATGGTAAATATGGAGGAAAAGTTGATCATTTTAGTGCAGGGCTGCCAGAGCTTTACATCCCTCCCACTGACAATATTTTTGGCCCAATACACACTTACAAAACAGCGCCTGGAAGAGGAACAGCTCTGCACTCAGGATTTCTGGTAAGTAGACTATGATATGGTGCTGGTTATGGCCGCTTAGCAACCTCAGATGCAACCTGCCTCTGCGCCCTTAAAGGGGGCACAGAGTAGACACAGGTGTAGCAACCAGCACCCGACCTTGCATTTTCCAGGCGGTACAGTGGACATGTAAGGGATAATGAATAGTGAGCTAGGTGAGGTATCACTGTCTGAGGGCTGCTGTAGAATGGCAACGAGGATGTCAGACGACCAACACTCACTACCCGCTCCCTGGTTGCGGCGATTTGCGATGCTGGCCAGCTAGGAATGAACTAGCAGCCAGTACAGTACAGTCCTCTCTCGGCTAGCTAACATTTAGCCATGTTACTGATCCATTAGAAAGAAAGCTAGCTGGACACCGGTGTTGAAGCCTCTTTGGTCACGGAGCTCCCTCCATTTCTTGAACGTCTGACTGAGGTTTACTCTTGTTTTTCCTCTTCTTTTATCACTCTCCTTTTTGCTCTTCTTTGCCTCCTCAGACAGAGGAGCTCCTTTTCTTTTGCTAGGCCTTTTTTCACTTGTTTCCAAACTTTGTCTTTCTGCCATTGTGCTCTTGACTCAACTATCTCATGCCCAACTCCTCATAAGGACCAGCTCCAGTCCCTGATTGGCTGACCGACCAGTTTCGCAATACATGACACATTTCCGGCCGTAAAGCAGATTTTTTTTCTGCGAAATTTCAGCACCGGTGGCAGAAGCTTATTGCAAAGATTGCAAAGCCATTTATTAACCTATGTAAACGTTGATAGTCTGATTTTACTGTGGCCACTACCCTGTGCAACCCACATTATTTTCATAATGATACATTTAGGAAAAGATGCTGTCTGTTGCCTCTTTAAACTCATTTTGTTACTTTCGTATAGTCATGCTAGCTTCCAGCTTTTATGCTAGGCTAAGCTAACCGGCTGACCAGGTCTACCTTCATATTCAGACAACATACTGTACAGACATGAGATTGCTATTAGCATCACTGTGCTGTGATTGGCTGGTACTAGCCCTAACCCTTACAACTGAATCAATCATGAATCATTGGTGCGAGTACTAATCAATCACAACACATTAGGGTGGGTCTTGCCAAGAAAAGCATCAGATGGTATCAATCTTCTTATCTCTGTCTCTGAAAGAAAGTTAATAAGCTCATTTCACAAAATGTCAAACTATTCTTGCTGATCCAGATGGCGACTCAACGATCCATGTGCCAAACTGAGTCAACCTGTGTCGATGATGTATGATAAAGAAGTGAATGAAGTGACAGGAAAGGGAGGAGGACTAACCGGAGGAGGGATGGCTTCTGTCTTCATCAGGTCCTCATAGATCTCTCCTCCATCTTCGTCGTCGTACACGCAGTCATACAGATCCTCCTCATCCTCCACCCCGTTCTCACTGCAGCACACAGAAGACAGAGTATGGCACTGACTTTACATTACATCACGCTGCTGTTTGATCCGGAGTTTATGTGAGTGGGTAATGGTTTTCACTCCTGACAGGTACATGAAAGGTTTAAGCAAAAAACACAACGTTCTGGTTTTACTGAAGTGGATTTTAATACTACACAACAAATCTTGTTAGCGGGGGACAACACTTAATCCATGGCTGTGAAAGTGGCTCAGAAACACACACACACACACACACACACACACACACACAGGAAAAGACTGTTATGTGTGACGCCACAGGCCTGTTCTGACTGCTCACTTCTGAGCCAATTACTGTACCCTAGCAACTGGGCTAACATGACATGACTCAGTGCTTGTGTCTGCGTACCTCAGAACCAAAAGTCCTCAAGAGGAAAGAAACATAAAAGGGATCTAAAAGGAGCATGTAAAGTGTAAAGACCTGTAGCGTGCAGGTATATCAGGGTGAAGAATGGAGGGTGAGGTGAGGGGTGAGGATAAAGTATGGAACGTAGGCTGTGGAGGTGAACTGCAGGTAAGTTTGGTGCAGATTGCCTGGGAACCAGATGAATCTACGAGTTCATGTTTAATTCGTCCTGGCAGGTGCGTCTGGTCCGTCTCGGCTTTGGACAGATTTCCAGCAGCCTGAGTCGTGTCAGTTCAATCGCAACCGTTAATAATATGGGGCGTGTTTGAGAAGAAGACAGTAAAGAGAAGCGCCACTTTTCGAAAACAACCAAGATGGCTGCAGCTGATGGGGAACTTTATGTCAAAGCAGCTAGCAGCTTAGACGAACAACTCACTGCACTTCAAGCTTTTCTTGAGAAGAAAGATGTGTTTGCTGTACTTCTGACAGGATTTAAAAGTTTAATACACTATTTCTAAGTTCCGCCCTAATGTGCCATGATTTGCTGAACAAGTAGTGAGTCGTACTACCAGTAATTGCACTCATTGACTGTACACCCCTGAAAAGAATTCAAGAAAGAACATGGCTACAACATCAGAAAGAATCTTGGATCTTGGTTGGTAGAAACTTTGTTAACAAAAGAGCATGGTTGTGGTCTAATTTATTAATTTCTCCCTCATCTGCTACCTTCTCTAACAGTGTGGGAGGGTGAGGGATGTTTGCCTGGAGGCCAACAGCTCTCATACTCCGTTCATTTGGCAGTACCGCATCCTACATCTAATCTGGCTGCAGTTTGCCGCAGAAGGTGAATCAATCCCCAGCTTATAGTTTGGCTGCACTTCACCACAGAATTAAATTAAACGGCTTAAGTTTAGTGAGCCTGGAACAGCTGCGAGATACTCCAATGTCCACAGACACTGCATGACTGACTGCACTTCACCGCAGCTTGGTGTGTTTGCGTAATAGTTAAAATTAAAGAGAAACAAATAACAAGACACTTGCTTCCCGATTCATAGCAACAGCCACCTCACGACCAGACCTAGTCTTCTGGTCGAAGTCCTTTTAGCATGCTTTTCTCATAGAACTAATTGTCCACAGGAGGATGCAATGAAGGAGGCGTTTGAATGCAAGAGTCTGCACTACGCTGACCTCATAACTGAAGCAGCGACTAGAGGCTGGGAAGCTGAGGTGCGACTGATCGAGGTGGGCTGCAGAGGCTTTGTCGCAAGATCCACCGCTACTACGCTCCTCAAGGAAATCTGGATTAATGGGCAGGCCCAGAGGAAAGTGGTCAAGGATCTGGCCTATACAGCTGAGAGGTGCAGTCATTGGTTATGGCTGAAGAGAAGGGATCCCGTCTGGGCCCCTTGGTGACCACAGAGGAGCCAACCTTCTGACACACACCCAGGCCTGATCAGCCTGTGGTGGGCGTCTTGTGATAAAGGCCGAAACACCCGATGATGTTGAGGTGCACAAGTGACGATGTGTTGGGGGGTGGATCTGCAGGGTGGTCACGCCCTAAGCACCTATGCTCTGGTACGAACTGTGCTGAAACTCCAGGGATTGTAACACCAAGTCCTAACTCATGAATGAGAGAAATTCTTAAGATTTGAAAAGTCCCACATTAAACTTTCCCAGTCACACAGTGGACGTTTGTGTGTCTACAGCCTAAGTAGCCTAATTTTCTCAAGGGACCAAGAAGCAGCTTGTCCCTGAGCAATATTTCGGTCATGACTTTTGACAGTGTCAGTAAGAGTTCAGACAGTTGGCTCTAAATGGTCAGTGTTGCTGGTGAATCTCTCTTCTTGGCTGAACGGTTACGTTTCTGGGTTTCTGCACATGCTGTGTCCATTTTCTGCTGAACCCTGAGAGCTGAGCACGGCTCTGTTCAGTGTGATCCAGGCTGCCACTTCCACCTCCCATCCACTGCTGGCTGCTGTCAAACTGCTGTTTTCCTGTCACTACTGACTAGTGGGCTGCTTCCTACCCTTGGAGCTGTCAGCGCTAAACATAGACCAGAGCACCGTGTCAGAGTGAGGCTTCCCAACAGCATCTTTACTGTAAGATTATCTAGGAGCTCTGCCCTTAAAGCCAGTCCTGTATTTTTCCATATGGGTCATGCTCAGATCCAGAAAGTTACATTTGAGTTAAGGACAACACCAGGCAAATATAAGCTTCATTAATTAGAAGGTGAATACACTGGCTGAGGATGGGAAGCTATTCTTTTAAATTTCAATGAAATGTTTTTGTAGAGGGTGGCACAGTGGGGCAGCGGTTAGCATTGTCACCTCACAGCAAGAAGGAGTGGGGGAGTCTGCATGTTCTCCCCGTGTCAGCGTGGGTTTCCTCCAGGTACTCCAGCTTCCTCCCACAGTCCAAAGACATGCAGGTTAACTGGTGACTCTAAATTGTCCGTAGGTGTGTATGGTTGTCTGTCTCTATGTGTCAGCCCTGTGATAGTCTGGTGACCTGTCCAAGGTGTACCCCGCCTCTCGCTCAGTGTCAGCTGGGATAGGACTGGACACATAGGACATCAGACTGTACTTCAATCAAGGTCCAATACCAGGCAGAGATTGTATTGTCTCTTTGCGTTAGAGATAACATTAAGATCAGTCATGACAGCGATCTTGAAGGGTGAAATCTGTTATCTCGAGAAATTGGCAAATTGACACAAACTGACCCATTAAGAGCTTTGTTATCTTGAGATAATGAAATAATTAACTCGTAATCTCAAGATAATAGCATTATTTGATTGTATTTTTAAGAAAATTTGAGCATGGCTGTTCTTACCTTTTGTAGTCGATGAAAAAAAATGGTGAAAGAAAAACATATCAAAAAACATTCTTAACAGTATAACCTTCAAAAATCCATTTTAACCAAGCCAAAGTCTCTTAAATCTTTCAGATTCAGGTTTTATTGCTGCACTGCAATTAGATAAAGAGAGTCCTGTCTGCAATGTAGGTGGATTATGTAATGCTTTTGTTCCTTGTTCACTTTGTTGTTTCGATGAAATTGCTTTAAAATGAAGTTACTAAATGCATCAGTCAGAAGATGGTTAGCTGTCACCATATGTTCAGTGTAAGGCCACTATTTAGCCAGGAAGTTAAAATGCCATTAGAAAAACAAGGTTAGTTTGAGGTCCCCAAAACAGTTCACTTCAGCTCAGACTTTAAGGGTATTTGTATATCCTCCTGAGACCCTGTGTCCTCACACGGGGACATCACATTTTGGGTTTACTTGACCTTATACTTCATTCACTTAACTTACACCTGTTGTCCTCGTCTGTGGACACTTTTTGTGCCATCTAGTGGTAGTAAGAGCACAATACACTAATCCATGTAAAAACAAGATGGCAGCCACCTCTGCCAAGTCAGTCTTCAGCTGATCCTGACACAAAAGTGGACAAGGTCAAAAACCTGATCACATTTTATGGTTGAAACGTGTTTATTTATGATTAATAATGTTTGTAGTTTGATATGGCAACAAATTTGACCAATTTTAGCATTAATAAATTGCTGTTAATTAGAAAGTACTCATCTGAAGACACTAGGTATTTATCATCAGCTCATTAGTGGTCATTGGGACTCATCTTGGTTGAGGACATTGGAACTTTATTAATGTCTCGTTTGAGGACATTGGGACTTTATCATCGTCTCGTTTGAGGACACTGGCATTTAATTATCGTCTCGTTTGAGGACATTGAGACTTAATTGTCGTCTCGTTTGAGGACACTGGGACTTTTATACCTATCATGTCCTACTGATCCCAAAAAGCTAGGAGAAACTAAAAATGCATACCAAACAAAAGTTCGGGTCTCAGGAGGTTGAGTGAAAAACTGCCATTTAAATCTCCAGCGCTTCCATAAGTGTGTGGGACCAGGGTGTAAAAACAGGCTGAAGAAAATTCCCGCATGACTTGTGGTTAACTTAGAAAAGAGTGGGATGAGCTCATGCTGAAAGCCTGGGAGGAGGTGGCTGCGTTCCAGTCAACACCCGGGGACCAAATGTTGCCTGCGTCCATAACAGCCTGTAGATTGTTAGGTTGTTGGGACTAAATTGACAAATGACACTTTATAATGAAGTGTTTCAAAGAGAAAATCTCCAACTTTAAGGGTTGTTATGAGTGTGTGTGTGAGAGGAGAGGACACGTACTCTATCAGGTCCTCCAGGTGGTTGTAGATATCCTCATCTTCAACACTCTCCTCAGATGGGAAGGGCCTTTGAAGGGAAACAGAGAGCATCATCATTATCCACCCTGCCTTAGAGTATACAGTAAACTGTATCATGTATGTTTGTATTGTGTCATTTCACTCCAACATACCTGATTCCAGTTTGTTGTGCAATCGCTGTGTGGGAAAGTTTAGATAGTGTGTCCATAACCTGCAATGGAAATAAAGACATGTTATTTTAATAATGTTACCTACATTATAGAGACCATACACAGTGTGGGGAGCGATACTTGTATCTGATGGGGTTTGTTGTTTGGGTCTTGGGGCTCCTGTGGTGCTGCATTTCAAAGCGGAGACACATGAGGGCAGCATTCTCACACACTCCAACACTAATACTACTGACACACATTGTGACTGTGTCGCTTGTTTATTCATGTGCCATAACAGACACACTTATACTCCACACACAACTTATACTCTGAAATATAAGTCATCATATGTGTGATCATGGTGTGATTTAGTGTTTTGTCTTCCCCATTTGTGTTGTGTCTAAAATCATAAATCACACACAACCCATTCACATAAATGTCATGAGAGAGGAACAATGAGAGACGTGTGAAACAAGAGAGGAACAATGTCGCCGCTGCACACACTCACTCGACGCAGTCAACAGTTAGCAGTGCACCCACAGCAGAACAGTCACATGAACTGATCAGTAATTGATCGTGCTAGGAAGTTAACCGCACGCTCTCGTGGGCTGACATGATTGCTATTAGTATGACATGTAATTTCACACTGCAGTGCTCAGTCCAGCCAGTGCCCTTGACCCCTCTGCGTGTGTTTGTGACCTGCTTGACTAATCACAGCCGAACACACCTGCCAAATGAACGATACATGGTTTATGATCTGAGTCGACGGGGAGCTCTTTTGCAACCTGGCAAACAGCCCCACAAACCTGCTTTTGTGGGTCATCTAATTACTGACATAACGCGCGGATGTGCCGATAAAAAGATTGCCTGCACGCCTGCATTCACACGAACGCATCACAGATGCAACCGTAGATACATTTGGCCCGGAGCATGAGCTCTCAGAGATCAATACTGATCACACAACAGGCCTTTCCCTTCCCCCACCAGTAAACAGAATAAATAGTGTGGCACAGAGAGGCTGAAACATCTTCTGCTAACATCCTTTAAGCTATAAACTGTAACACTGTGCACCACTGGAACTAATAATGTGACATGTTGTGTGTCACTGATTTAAAATTAATGTTCATCCAGTGTAGGATGCTGAAAACTGATGGTCTGAGCTGTTTTTAGCATCGGTATTCCTGTTTTTAACCACAAGGATCTCTCATTTAAGGACCTGCAACAGATACACAGACCGGTGCTGATCAATTGCACAATAATCAATCAAACTGCATCACATCCATCAAACAGTCCAAACGGAAGGTGGACGACACTGACTGACGATCTGTCTTTCACAAGTCTGTCAAAATCTGGCACTTTATCATGACAGACATCAGAGGCAGCAGTGAAATAACAGCGCCATGAAACACAGATTCAAGCTGAGTTTATCAGTCGCCGCTCTGATCAAAGGGAAGCATTAGTGGCGAGCAGCTGAACAGTGGGAGGATGCAGAGCCGTGTTTGTGACAGAGCTACATGGAGCTCAGCAGCAGTGATCACACATCATGACAGGAGGCAGCACTAGTGTGTCAGACCTGCATTTATATACATTAAAGTCAATCTAACAGGCAAGAAAATACAATAAAACTGGCTGATGTGCTTTCTATAGTTCACTACTCCTACTTTAAATGTTAGGTTTTCTTGATAGAGGACATATTCTGTATGATATATCGCATTGTTAAATGATTTTAACCCCAAAGCTCCTCCTTTTTCAGCTTCATACAGCCCTAATAACCTCCACCAATGAGGTACAGCAGCAGTATGTAGCCTGAGAGGCAAAACCCAGGGCAACAAAGTCTAAAAAACACAACCGCTGCTTCTCCTTAAAGGTAAACCAAAGGGAAACTCCGCTAAAGACAGTATGGTAGTGCTAAATTGATGAAGCGTTGTTCTAAACCAACTGACCCTTCGCTAAGTCCCGCCCCGAGGACACAGACTGGCCAATCATAACGTAGCCTCAGGCCAGCTCAGACCAGGGTCCGACAACACTGACTCTAATGCAGTCGTGTCAGATTTGCTTCATTTTCAGACTGGTTTTGTGGATTTGGAGCTAAATGTTGTGCCTGGGGCACGTCGTGTATTAATGATACTCGTTACCTGGAGAGATTGGAAAAAGATATACGTTTCTTCCCTGTTCCAAAACCAAAATCAGACCCTGAAAAGTGTAGGGTTAGCTAGCTAGCTCCTGAAGATATAGCCTACTGAATGTATACACATGCTGTGTCTGCTTTTTAATGATTATAACAGTGAAACAAAGACCGACCCTGCTGTACAGGAACCAGTGAAGGGAAGCAGGGACACTTTGCTGATATTGAAAAAGCTGTGTGTCATCGCAGTGTGCGCAGATGAACGTTGTTTGACTTCCCCAGGTGCTCCCCGACAGTCCAAGTCAAATTTCTCTAAGGAGACCAATAAACGAACTGAATCTGAATCTGGCAGAGGTGTGACCACTGGCAGTGACACAGGGGGGAATGTGCACACACTGCGATGCCACACAGCTGGTTCAATATCAGCAAAGTTTCCATTTATATTCATTGTCTTGTGTGGCGATCAGCAGTGATGTGGTGGTTCACTGTTACACTGTTATCTGTAGCCTATAGTTCGGCTTTAGCTTCTAACTATCTTTGTCTTTTTAACCTGTTGTTGCTGCTGAGTCAGTTTGACATCCTGGATATATCCTTCAAACACAGACTGTAGACCCCTCTGTCTGCTTCTCTCTGGAATCACTCTTTCATTTCTCCAAAAATATGATAATATTTCTTCAGGGAGTGCAGTTAGTTACAGTGTGGGCTCCATGCATACTCTGACAGCTTGTTGGTCCATCACAAAGGGGCGGGGCTTAGCGTAAGGTCAACTGCTCTGAGCACACAGTAATAACTGAAGGAAACTCAGGTGAGCAACACTGTTACGCACTGAGATCGTTTCTCATCTGGATCATTGCAGCTGGACAGCAAGTGTATTCAATATAATTGTGACATTAGTTTTCATATGAGCGCTGTAGAGTGCGTCAACTCTCATTTCAGCATGTAACACAGGAAACAAGCACCAAAACTAACACCCATAGAGCCGATTTAGAGCTGTCAAACTATCAACTAAGCACAGATTGAAGTCCTGAAGCAGCAGCCTGGATGTTAAACAGCCTCCACAATCAATGTGCCTTCAGCAAGCAGAGGAATGAAACAGTTTTGAGTGTAATTGTAAACATTTTGGGACAACTCAACATACAGTACAGTATGTGCTCAGGAACTCGTGTTCTGTTAAAATAAAAAAGCAACATGTCAGTGATATTGTTGCAGTTCAAACACAGACATGAATGAGTGCTGTGAGGATGGCTCATTTCTGAGTGCATCCTCTGATACTCTGAGAGATTCTTCCCCCCTTTCCAGTTATTAATCCTCACACAGTTATCAGACAGAGTCGATAGAGTTCTCCTTCCAATAATAAATGAAGGGCATGACATCCGGAGGCCAGTTGGCAGGTACAGCATGTCCAAAAGCTGAAGATCCACTGCGTGCTGAACACAGCTTTGGAGGCTTTCCAGTTTTGGCTGGCAGGCAACTTTGGGGTACGAGTCGTGGATAGTTGTGCTTTTTGGCTTCACTCAATACATGAGTCACACTCATTCGCAACAAAACTGACCATCTGCACACGGCCAAGACTCACACACATCTCTGAAGACTCACAAGTATTAAATCCATCAGTGGTCGCACCACTGTTAATAGAGAGATGTCAAGGAAACGTCCACAAATGAGAGGTTTGAATTCCAAGAGTCGATCATTTTAGCTTTAAAAAAAATCGGTCAGCAAAACTAAAATATAGATGATTACTACTGTCCTCAGACCTTCATTATGCAAGATTTTAATAATACATCATCTGCTCTTTAAAGCTGCTTTGAGCAACTGTGTCATCAGCCAAAATCACAGAGGCTGAAACAGCAAGAAAAAACCCCGTACAGTAAGACATCATCGTCCAAATTAAAAAGATCAAAGGTCCTGCGTTAGCTTTGGTGTCCAGTGTGTGCACATAAAGCAGAGGTCACGGGCTCAGCAGCGTGTAACAGATGAGTGTTGATGCAGGGGGACTGGCTCTCTGATGGAGGCTAATAAACCTGCCCTGCCTGACCACGTCTGCACCGCCGGATCTAATGATTCACACCAGAGCAATTAAAGCAGGATGAGGGATGTGTCTGCACAGATGAAAGGGAGACGAGTACAGTGTGTGTATCTCCGTGTGTGTGTGTGTGCTTGGATGCAGGTGCGTGTTGGCGGCAATCCGTCTGCTTTCAGTGAGTTTCAAAAACAACAATCACTTCACACTCTAAGTGTTTATTTCTACATTGATAGACACGGCACGCTTGAGTCAAAATTGCAGCTATTTAGTTTTATGTAATTATAATTTTATGCATTATAAGTGGAAACAGCTTTGACACAGTAATTATACGACAGATCATCCAAACTCTTCCCAGATAATATACTGTACGTAAAATGTTCTTTCATACTTCAATAAATATCCATCACATGCTCCATGTTCTCACACAGCGATGTCACCGATTGGATTTTCAATGGAAACTACATCAAACACAGATGTTTCCACAGAAAGATCAATAACAGCCCCATATATCACTTCACATAGATCAAAGAGAAAATTTTACCCTCAGCGAGACAATTTCTAATATCCGCTATTGGCATGCAAACCCACTGATCGCCTCCTCTTTATATATTCGGAGACGTCCTCCGCCGCCTCTCGTGGTAGAGGGCACCTTAAGAAAATGGGGGATGCATTTTAGATGTATGACACGCCAACAGTTTTATTGGTTTCACACACAACCCAGCACGCTGTCCCAGTTTCCCGCGCTCTGCTTTTACTCCTCCTTTCTGTGGCTTTGCCTTCAAAACCAAAAGAAAAAAAGAGCACTTTTAATTCCTGTTTACAGATTGTAATTGAGGTCATCTACCCACTTCTGAAATCAGTGCTGGAAATGGTCCTTACGTAACTGCAGTGTTTCACCAGAAAACAAACTGAAC